TAGGAACAATGTTATAAGTATTGTTCTTATTTCTATCTATATATTCGGTTTACGGCGTCTGACGACCTCCGGGAACCCTCTCCGTCTCTATCCATACACCATTCCTCTTTAATCCCGTTTTCACTACACGCTAACTTTACTCCGTCGTACCAAATTACCCGGGTCTTCCTCTCATTTTCGTGAAATGTATTCCATTGACATTTTCGGGAGTCTCTCCTCACTCATTCTTTTCGCGTGTCCGAACCAAATAAATTGTTTCCTCCGTATTTCTTTTAAAACCGTCTCCTTCGATCCCATTAGGTCTTTGGTCCTCTGATTAGTTATTCTTTCTCTTTTCGAGATTCTGCACCATCTTCTCGATGTATCCATTTCAACCGTCGTTACTTTTTTCTTCTCTCCCCAGTCATCCTCCGTGCCTCCGCTCTGTATAATTGAATGCTTTTTAACAATGGCATTAAATATTCTCTCTTTCTTTGATCTAGTTATTTCTTCATTCCACCGTATTCCATTTAATTTTTTAACCGCTCTCTTGCCTCGCGCTAATCTTGTATTAATTTCTAACGTTCACATCCCTCGATCTTTTCTCCTCCTTCCAGTTCCGTGTCCGTTTTATCCCCTTCTACGCGTAAGTATTTTATTTTACTCGTGTTTATATATAAACCTCCTTTAAAATATTCCTCTTTTATTTTTCTTGTCGCCTATTCCACATCATCCTGCCATTACCACCCCATTATCCGCAAATTGTTCTTATTTTTTTATATTACTATCTATTACTTAAGTTTCTAGTCGTTATTGGTGTTAATAGGAGATAGTTATGCTAAAAATTACATGGAAGTAATTAACGGTTTAAGAAAGGGGTGATATTATCAACTACAATTAACAAACTAGGGTTGTGTTTAATTCCCTATCTTCGCTTGTCCGTTAAATCGATTGCGTATTTTAGCGCCCATCTGATTGTATCTTTTCTAGTTTTCCTAGCGACTGCAGCTTTTCTTAGTCTTTCTAGACGTGTTTCGTGTTTGCTATCGTCCTAGTCGGCTGCAGTTTTTCCTACTTCCTTTATCATTTCGTTCCTTCTAATCCATTAATCAATACCATCGCTTAATGCCTACTTAAAAACAATTGGCATCGGAGACGGAAGACTACGGTTTAATCGTCGATGGTCTTTTAGAAAAGGGGGAATTGTCCGGACCAGCGTTTTATTCACCGTCGATTTAACACGACGGACATGGCGAGTGGAAGTCGATAAGGATCCCTCTTCGAACGGAAGTCGTCGATTGGCCGTATCGGGCCACCTACGTAGATGGCACATGACGGGTTTGGTCACGAGATACGGTAGGTTAGTCGCTGACAGACGTCACCCGACGTGGCCGTACCCGAGCAAAATGGTAGTTATGGCCGAAACAAAAACTTCTTTCATCGTAACGTCTCGGAAAATGCGGATCTTTATCGCTGTTTGTATACACTGCCTCGCGACTTTTGGACCCTCGATTGCGCGATTCTGGTGTAAACTACCATTTAAAATGTGCTCGGTGTACCAAATCCTGCCGTTGGAGGGGATTTCGCTACCGCGGCCCCTTAGGACGTACGGAAAGAATGTCCCGTCCGTCCGACACAATAAACGAAACACGTGTTGTCCGTATCTACAGACACATCGCGGTCGTAAGGGCCGTCTGGGGGTGGAACTCTCGAAACGGAGAGTAGAAAAAATCCTCCGACCACTTTTTACACGCTGACAGCATCTGCAAAGTCCCAGGACAGACTTCATCAACAAGGAGATAGAGTAGACAAGTGTTGGTGATTTACGGCCCCGGCTATAAATCTCGACGTCTATCTCGTTCGCGTCCAGTGCGAGAAGAAGGACCACGTCGGCTATTTATTCCTTTTTCTACGCCAAGAAATAAAAGAATGTTTTTATAGGCGTCCGGCCGCCATCTTGAAAGACGGAGAGACTTCGCCGGCCAGCCAACGCGACGCGACGCGTCGGCACGGGTAGAGAGAGGGTTACGAAAAGCCAACTGCTAGGCCGGGTGGTCGTCGCAGGTGTCGGGCGCGCGACGAATTTGACATACAACACCGGTTGGACATTCTCGCGGTACAATGACCAGGAGGATGCGTCCCGAGTGCAGGGGTGCGAGCTTATCCAAACAAACTGCGACCCTCTCTCTCTCGGTTCTCTCTCGTCTCGAGTTACTCTCTCCCCCCGGCGAACACCCTTCGGAGATCGATACGGGGTCGGGTCGTGACCTTAACCGATGCACTGGACAACTTTGTCACAAGTAGACTTAAGGCCTTTTACTTTAGGGATAAACAAATGAATCGTTCACTCGGGAAATTTATTTTAATGTCAAAGTACCACAGCTCGTCTCTCCCCCTTTTTTTTTATTTTTCCTTCTCCTTTCCTAGACTCGCTCGTATGAGGTGGCAGCGCGACAAAAAAAAAAAAAAGATAAAACGAGATGTCGTCGCCGCGACACCTCGTGTTATCTTTTTTGCCCCCCTCGAAATGCGGACGAATTTTTGGGGGGGTTGCCGCAAAGAATTTCAGATATTTTTTTTAGGTTTTTTCGCACCCTTAATCATCTGTAAATGGGGAATGCTGCAAAGTAACGCTTAACATTCGGTATTAATTACATTTTTAGTGTAAGATACCCATCGGGCAACGGGTTTACGGTATCTTCTCCCTCCCTGGAAACGGACCTCGGCTGTTAATGTACAGTGTTCTAGGTAATAGATACGTAGAGTACGTGTACGAACGAAAAGCCCTAGAACCGGCTCTATAATAAAATCCCGAATGTTTATGTCTTTCGGTATTTTTATTGTTATAGGCCACGTGTGCCCGATTTTCGTGTATAGTTCTGGTGCGCGCTTACTGGAAACACGGCGACAAACAAAAAAAAAAAATCCCAACTCTAAAGGGTCTAATCTCGCACTCTCTCGTCACAACACGCGCCAAAATATTAAAAAATTACAGTTGTTCTACACCCTTACTTTCTGTACCCTAAGGATCCTTCTTACAGCTTATCCGTAAAGGCTATAGTACATAATAGAACAGAAGAATAGGTGTTTGGAACGGAACGGATCCCTATTTTGAGTACGTCCGAATTCCATCCCCGAAAGCCTATTCCTACATTCATTATCCAAAAAGACAAAAAGGCAAGTATAGAAAAATATCCTTATGGTATTCCTATAGCTAGCACCGCAAAAATCCCTAAATTCTAATAGCCCTTAGAATATAGTGATTCTTGCGTTACGGTTTATCGATCTTCATTCGTTAACCGCACTACCAACACGTGAGAATAGGCCTACGTATATTTTACGCCTTTAGGTCTTCTTTACATCCAAATCCTTAATGAATCCCAATGGCCAACCTCGACTTAACGACGACCCAGCACCGAATTCTTATAGTATACCTCTGGATACAGACAAACGAAGAATTTTATTCGCTGCCTCTAGTTTCGCACAGCGCGGGCCATTATATGGTTCGAAAGTTGCCCGTGCCTTCAAACAATATAAAGTTCTATAATTAGTTATAGTATAGCCCTATCCGAAACGGCCTAGCCAAAAAAATAAAGGCGTGCACGCGACGTAGGGGTGGACAAATTCCCACTGGCGCGTGACGAAAGTATGCCGAAACACCAGTTTTTTGGTGCTTCGATACAGTTTATGGAAAAATATTCCCGGAGATATTTTTATTCCGGTTTCTATATCGGTCAAGACGAGAAATGTGTCCTTTAGAGCTTAATGCAGTGAATAAGGAAGAATTTTTCACTCGGCGTCACGGTTATTTTTAGAGGATTCCGAATCCGAACAACGTTTCACTCCACTTTTAGTGCTATCCGTTCTATAATTTATCATCAGAAATTGCCGAGGAATCCACGTCGAGTCTTCTTTACACCGAGATGCTCTACAGAATTAGATAAAGGCGAGAAGGGATTTAGAAATCGCACCTTTTCAGGTAGTGTCCTTTGTAACACCGACGAATGGCAGTTCCCCGGCGTCGTTACGCGTAGCATCTTCGGTGACTGCTCAATTTGTCCACTAATTTGTTAGGCGACCTCGCAGCTTGGCAATGGGAAGGACTGCCAAAATGCCACTTTTCGTAACAAAACAAATGCCAAAACGTGTGCCAGCTTAGCCACTTCGCGTATCAAATGTTACCACGGATTCAAATGTTACTTTCTTCGGAAAATTTCTTTTCCGCCAAGGATGCCGATCCACCCGACGGAAAGGACCATCGAAAGTAAATTTGTACGGCGTTTTGGTCCCTATCGTCCGACTTTTACCAAATTTTCTGTATGATCGCGTCGCGTGGCTTCGTCGCCGAGTCGCGAGACGACGTCGCTATCCATTAAGTAACGGTAGCGCCCTGGTAATTGCGTCGATACCAGAATCTTGTCAGCATCTTAATAGCGCTTTCGTAAAAAGAGCGAAAAGTGTGGAGAGAATAACTGGTCTCTCGAGATGTTCGACGAGTGTTCTCGAGTTGCATTCTAAGCGATAGCCACCGAGGCAAAAGGAACCGAATGGTGTTTTGGATGTTGGCGAGTTTCGGTTCGGTATTTATCTACGCGCCAGCCTAATTCTTTTCCAGGTTGCTCTGTGTGTTCCTTTTGTCCGGTCTCATCTATTTTGCTAGTATGCGCTTTGTTTTACCTATTCTTTACCTCCTCCTCCGAAAGATGAGGCAAAGAATATATACAAAATGGAGAGACTAGGAAGAACCCCTATAACGCTCTCTCTATTCTCTTCCCTTTCTTTTAAGAAACACCTAATTTCTCCCTTGAGAAATATGTCGGCTCTATGTAAGTATTATTCCTTAATCTCTACAGGAAAGAATTCTATAGTCTCGCACAACGGAAATTTGCCAGCTAACACCTCTATATTAAACCCCGGTACTCGGAAGATACGGAGGCATAAAATTCGATTCGTACCTTCCAAATCCATCCCCAGTGTTACACCCTCGAAAGTGCGATCCGAGGTAAGACAAACGCACTTACCTTCCGGCCTTGGTGACGATCATCTCCGTGCCTAATTCGTTGAATTCGTCCCACAGGGTCTTCATCTCCAACGTGGCGGTCACCGTGACCAATTTGGGGTGAAGAGGCTTCTTTTCTCTGTTTTCCGAGTCGTCTTCGCCTTCCGCCACTCCGCCGTCGTCCAGGCTCTTCTCTTCGCCCACGGGATCGATGATCTCTTCGCACTCTTGCAGCCTGTAGGTTGCCCCGTTGTAATGATACAAGTCTTTGGTAACACTGAGGAGGCACGCTGTCGAGAAAAGGCTCTTTCAGTTATAGTTAATGGGGCTTAACATTGGGGGAGTTAGTTACCTTACACTTCCCGGTTTCTCCGACTACGGCTTAAACTTCGTAAGCGGTCACCTCCGTATAGCGTAAAGTGGCCTTAAATCGAGGTAATAAACCCAAGAGTATAACACGTCCGCCAGTCGCGTAATAGTAGACATATGCGTGTGTGGCGGATAAGCTAGACACCTCCGCGAGTTCGGGGTGGTCGGAGTTTTATTATCCGAAGTTTAATACAAAAAGCGCGTAAGTACACGAGAAAACAATGGCATTAGCGCTGTGGAACGGCGTTGGCGTATCGGAAGTATTAACACCCGGTGCGGGATTGGATTACCCGCGTCGCGGCGTTACTCGGCGCGCGCGAGAAAAGGATATAAGAAAACCGAGGAGGACTCACCTTCCATCTCCTTAACGGGGGTGTTGGGGCACGGGACGGGATCGACGGCGGGCGTCGGAGCCGCGGCCGGAAGTGACCAGTCGTAGCAACATTCGGAGGCGCGTGCGACGGCCAGCGGAGCCAGGAAAGACTCGGCAGCGTTGTCCGACATCAAAGAGGCGATGCTGAACGGATTGCAGCGACACGAATAAGCCGGGTCGATATCCATCCGAAGGCTCGATCCGGCTATCGACGATCTTCGTCGCCTTATCGCCCTCCGCTCCCTCCCGTTGGAGAAGCACGCCGACGCTCCGCCCCTCGCTCTGTCTCCGCCAATCGGATCGACCTAGGAGGAACGTTAGTCTTCGGCGTCACGCCTTCCCCCTCGCTTGGCGCGTTCACCCCCGGCGGAGTTTGGGGGAGGGGATGCGGACCGTTCCGACCCCCTCCATCTCTCCGATTGGTCGACCGAGACCAGACACCTGGATCGACACGCCTTCCGCCAGCGGCGGATGTGGAAGATGCATTCCGCCGCTTCCGGAATAACCGGAAGTCGCGCGTGGTGGGTCCAGTTTTTGTACATTTCTCGTGACTCGACTTTTCTATCGCTTCGAATTTTTGTCACGTGGCTCGAACGTTTGTCCATTGATTTACTCAGCGTAACACATTAGGACGAGTACCGGAGTAGGCCTAAAGCGCCCGGAATTTAAGCGAATCCTACGAAAGGATGTCTAATTTTGAAGGCAGGGCGTGGAAGATACGATTATTTAACCTCTTACAACGGGAGAAAAGACGAAACACAAAAGAGACGAGAGTTAGAAGGGAGGCGTTTCGATTTCCGGGAAACTCCTACTTATCGATTACCTGCGTATTTAAACCAATCGACGAAGCTTACTTACGATCTATGCGTCTTCGTGGGGCCGGTACCTTCCTATTAACAGACTATACAATTGTATTCCCGTGTACGACGCATAAGCCGGGCTTTACAAAGGAGCGTAGGATTTCGATTAACCGTTTCCTTCGCTGCCATCTTTTAAACAGCAGAAACTATCAACACCGCGAGGTGTTTTGTGGTCAGTCGACTAGAGGTCACCGTCAGTAACGTAACAATACTATCAATAGAACATCTCTTCTACGTAACTGGTAATTAGCATGGTTCCACTTGTCCGTGAAAGTATCCTACAATCTTTCGTCTAAATTTTATTTTTAAAAACACATTTACGTACCGAATTCGGTACATTAAGATATCACTGATGGGAGAAATGTTTAGTTTACGCGCGAGTAGAATGCCCGTAAGAAGCGTTGGTTTAAAAGAGTAGCCGAAGTATAGAGCACGACGGACAGACTTCCGATTGAAAGAGCAGTTTTAACACATTTTTCCATTTTATACACGCTTTATCGAGGCGAAAACACTATTCTACGGGCAGATCTTTGCTTCGCGCGTTTCGTGACCGGACAATATAATTCTTACAAAAAAAAAGCAAGGATCCCCGATTCTCTCTCTCTCCTTTCAAATAGCGCTAGACTACGGCTTCTAACAAATAACAGCGTTAAAAAGGGGTTTTATCATCATTCGCCGGGGAAAATCGCATTATCCACGAATACAATCGCGTATCGCGTTATATCAAATAGCGTAGTTTCAAGAATATAATTAGTGATCACTTTCGAGCGAGTGGCAATAGAGATTACGCGGATAAATTCGTAAATACTACTCCCGTATTCCGTGTACTTTTCGTAGTATCGGGACCGAATTGAAAGTAGATATTCGTGGAATTTCGAGAGGTCCAAACAACCGTTCCATCAAAATTGGCGTCGCGGATCCCCGCTTTAATTTGTTTATTAACGGTTATCGTTATAGTGTTTTTTGGATGGTTTTCCGTCCTCCGAAGGGACCTTTCTCGTCATCCATCACGTAAACGATCTACTTGTGTCATCCGCGTGCGGGGACATTTTTCTTCTTACGTCAACGAAAGCAATCCCAGTTATTAATTTGCGCGAGGTTCTGGTGGTGGTTGCATTTGCACTCGCCAACCGGTCGACGGATTTATCGACATCTCCAAAAGTTACGTCTTCGTTAACCGTATTCGATTCCCACCAAAACACCGCGTCGCCGCCCAGTCAATATGGCGTCGAACACCGAAACGGAAATCAAACTCACCTTTCGATTGGCAAAATTTATCCTTTCGCCCGATCCGGAAAGCGACCCGGATATTGGTACGGCTAGGCAAAATTTTCGGCGCAGTGGACCAGTTTTCCCAAAGACTACTTTAGTCCATTTATTGTAATTATAGTTTTATGGCGATTTTTTGCCGTTTACGGAAGGGTGCGTCTTATATTCGGAATATTCGTAAACACGCGGGCCAAATACGGACGATCCAAAAAGGAACCGTCCGGGTTCCGCGTGGTAACCGGCGAATTTTGTGGCGCGAGAATCGCACTCGGGACTATCAATTTTGTAACCCCGTAGAAAGGATGCGCTTCCAATTCGGAAGTACGCGTGGTGCCATCTAGTGTTAATATAAATAAATTTTTTTTGTACCTTTTCGGCGTGTTGCGGTACAATATATCGGCTTAAATGCAAAGTCATCTTTCCAGTCAACTAGGGGGTGGCGAATCTTATAATTAGTGGCAATAGTTCGAGTCGACGGGGAACGAGACGAGTTAGAAGCGCAACATATACAGTATACGCGATGGAAAGCGGTAATAAGTAAAGGCATTATCTAGTGTATTTTTTAATAGTAAATATTTATATAACGATAATTATTGTCGTAAAAACGTATTGCGCTTAAAATACACCGTGTCCCGTACAATAAGAAGCGAGTGGCAGCCGTATCGTTTCGCGATGCAATAAATTAAACCCTACGTTTGTTTGTTAAGTAATGGCTTCGGGGGTCTTTTAAGCCTAACTGGCTCCTATTCGGACAAAATCCGGAAAATTCCACGCGCCAACCCACGACCGAACTCCCAGTGTTCGGGGAACGGAAGCCGACGTTAAGACCTTTCGACGTACGGTGTCCGGTCGCGCACTCGATTCGAATTACCCAAATACGAAATTTTTACGCTTCCGGTCGAGTACTCGTACTTCGGTTTAAGAGGAATAATGCCTCGAACTATCGAGACTACCGTGCCGGGAACAGAATCTCGGGAGGCGATTGGTCCTCCGCGATTAGAGTTAGCGACTTAAACGGCTGGGACTGCGGTCCTACGCATCGTCTTTCCACGCTGCGAATTTTCCTTTTGTCGCAATCCCGTCGGTTCGTGGTACTCGTCCGTGCTCCGAAAGTTTCGCTCTTCGTTCAGTTATTGCCTGGCAATTCGCGGGAACATATAGTACCCGGCTTGGTATTTGGGATATACTAAACTACGTTCGAGTAAGAAACTTTCGCGCTTTTCCCACATACTACAATAGTAACGGAGCCTCAAAAGCAACATCGGGCCGTTGTTTCCCTCCATCTTAATACCAGTTTATTGGTACAAATGCCCGTCCGTTATAAAAGAATCGTCAACGTTTTAACGAAATTGCTCCGTTAAGAATTCGAGGATAGCGTACGCCCCGCCATTTAAAGGCGCGATCTAATTTACACCCGAATTTCCAGTTCGTCCGTAAGAGTCGGTACGTCGTCCGAGCGCGAAAGATTCCGGTAAGGATAAAAAACAATTAAGATTTTGTAATTTTTCAATTAACGCGAAGATTTCCTCTTCTCCGCGTGGTCGGCGCGAGAAAATTAATAATCGCGGGCAACGTTTTGCGTAAGACAAGCGCGATTTATTATAAAAATTATGTACAAATATGTTGCTGGGTTACAGGAACGAAGATTATTCGGACGAGGACATTCTATTTGTGACGAATTCCCGGAGAGAATGGGCGGCACTGCCAAAAGTTTGGTGATGAACGACGTAACCTCTTATCCACTTCGATAATCCTGAGAAATAAACTGAATTAGAGATTTGGTCTCGAAATGAGATATATTTAGAAAATTACCGATTGTATTTCGATTACAAATTACTAGAATTAGAAAGAGTGATAGGACAGTTTGGGATTCCGACGCATCCGAACTGCGTCACCCGTAAAAGAATTCCCGTAGATTCGGATACCGGGTTTCCAGAAATAGAAAACGTATCTCGAATCCGCCATTTGCACGAAATCGCGGGTAAGAAATAAAATGTAATTTATGGCCTTAATTATTCGTTCAACCGGATACCATTAATTCCGGGACAGTCAAAACGCCGCCCGGAAAAGGCACCGGATGGGTTCTAATTTTCGTTATAGTTTGTCTACGAAAAGAATCGACTCGGGTATTGACCAACCGGCATCGGCCTTCGACTTCACCCCCGCTTTTTTCCTCCCTCGTTAAACGCGTGGCAGCCGTTATAAACAGTATTACGGAAGCCCGGCGTTCCCTTATTGGAATACGAGGAAGTTGGCTGTAGTAGTAGTAAAACGTACGATTCTCTACACTTAACGAATGGTATAAAAAATACGATAAACGTAAAAATCGTTCGGCCGTCTAGTGAAAGTTCGCGTATTGCCTGGCATTAAGCTACCAGTGCCGATTGGTTTAAACCAAGCCACGTCACGCGTGACGTGGCTCTCGAATCGATTCTTTCCATAGACAGACTATAGTTACGTCCGATCCGGGAAGGAAAAAAAGATCCTCTTAGTGTCAGGGAGGAAAATTTAAAAATGCCAACGTCCGGCTCGTTTCGAAGAAGCTTTACGGACTTAAATCTTCACTAATAATAACGGTTTGGACTTCTAAATATTATTAAACATTTTAATCCATTGATAATATTAAACGAAAGAAACGAATGGCCAAAAAACTAGTTGGTAGAAATTTGATTTTTGTTCGTTCGAACACTACCGGGATGCCCGAAAACAACGCGTAGACGTACAACTCGAAGATTTATTAATATTAATTCGTCGGGTCTCGTTTAACTGTTGTTTCTGTACCACTAGCGTACGACGGAAAGAAATGCTGGCAATTTAAACTATTATACTGCCAGCAAAAAATAATTAGAATGGAAAGTATGACGACGACGACGACTGTACATTATTGGCAACACAAAAAAAAAAACCTCAAAAAATGCCTATTTAGTTGACAATAAACGTAACCATATAAGCGGTTTTAAAAGTGTAATCTAAAATACGTTTTTAGATGTACTAATCCCTATAACGTGGTTAAAATAAGCAAATTTTCTGTATTTTGAAACCTTATTGTTCGATGTCCGAGAATTTTAGGGTAGAATGTCGAAAAGAAACTACCTAAACTACTAAAAACTAAGCATTTAAGAGTAACGAGTATTTCTAGAATCGGGCAAACATTTAGATTTAAAAAAGTTCTTACCTCTGGTGTAGAACTCGCTGGAAAATCGCTGGTCGACGAGTACCAGCGCACCCCAATCGTTTCTGCAAAATACAAAGATAAAATTTTCGTTCGTCTCAAACTCTAATTTTGCTAGAAAGTGTAAATGGCTCTCGAATTACGCAACGGCCACATTCTAAGTTACACACATTTTAAATTTTGCCATTCGAACTAATGGTAAAATATTGCATTTTATGTGTATATGAATTTTGCTTAATATATTTGTATTTTTCTCTCGTAAAATACTGTATTGGCAAAAAAGAAATGTACAGTACTTTTAATCTTATTTAAGTGCAAATGAAGAAATTATAACTGTAGTCTGAATTTTCTAACACGCGTCGGAGTTGTCTAAAGTCATATTATTGAATTCAGAGATTAATAAAAATACAATTTGTTTAGCGTGTTACAAATCTCAAATTATTTGAATGGATGTTCCAAACATTTGCAATGTGCGGAACGTTTGGATTGTCTGTTTTCGGCTCTGCGAGCTAGTTGTCGCGGTCTCCCGAGAAAATATTCAAAATGTCGATTGCCCAAAGAAATACGTTTGCAGTTCGACTAAGTGCGTAAGTCGACGTTAACACAAATTTGGCTTTAGTACGTGCTTAGAAAGAAATGGGTAAAGCGTAGAAATGGTTTTGTAAATAACGTCTAGTGGCTTTCTAATGCAAAGGGTATTTTATAAAACGTACGAATGCTATTTATTCACGTAGAATTACAACTGACAACAGTAAATAGTTTTCGCTTGTTTTATGTTTTCCTTTCATTTTAGAAACAGCCTGTAGACACTGCTTCTGTGATTGAAACACTTCGCGCACAATTTCCGGAGAAACTGTGGCCCATTCCTCTAAGTGTTCTCTGAAGTCCGGTCACAATTTTGTCTCGCGTTTAAATAACCTCCGCTCGAGGTATCCAAAGCGGAGGCCGTTTAAATCCGTTGGGTGATTTAACTGGGAATGAGGCTAATTTCGACGACTTCGAGTGCCTCTCTTGGCCTCGAGGTCTTTCACGTGTCCGATGTGAACTTGGTCGTATGGGAAAATGTGCTGCCGTGGTGAACAAAGACTGTCGAAGTCTTCGCTTCTTTCACAAAATAAGGGAAACAAAATGTCCTTTGCATGTATCCGAGTGTCAATTGACACTTTAGGGTATTCTGACAGATGGCCGAGTACAGAACCCACCTTCGCACCAATGGTCGTCGATTTGCTAAGTGATCCCCGTAAAGCTTGTGAAATTGGTGCCCGATTTGCCTTACTTTGTTAAGCGCTTGAACTTTGGTCTTCCGTCTTCTTACCTGGTTATTGTGGTTCGAGTGGTTAATTTATTTTTAGTAACAAACTATTGTTGTTTATCGTTGTTTTTCAAAATAATGTAATTAGGGAAAAACCCAAAAAACATAATTAATTTCCCAAATATCCCAAAAAACATAATTAATTTCTGCATTTAAAACTGACGACGACATCGTTGCATTGTTGAGAGGTTTATTTTATCCGAAATATGATCTTAACTAAAGTAAAATAATTACGTACTTGTGACGAATGCATCTTCCCAGAGCCTGGTTTAGTGCCCGAAATGCTTGCGTCTCGTACCAATCTTTACCGGACATTAAATGTTTCTGTACGCAGTGTTTGTCGTTATACTTTTTCTTCAGATCTATCTGTCAGAAGAAAGATAAAAAGCTTCAGTTACAAATACAATAAATTCTATCAAAACAATAATCTATCTTCAGTTATCAGTAAAAACCATTGTTTTTACTCATTAATGTTGTGAAGGAAACAAGACTTTTTCTAATTTACTTATTTTATATATATAAACATCTCTAAGCCCTATAGTTATATTAAAGTCAAATGATTACAGGACTAACTTGGGCTATGTTACTACTGCTATTAATAATTAAATATCAAGTAATTTGGCACTTGAATAGGCATTAGGGGCCATATCTTATTACATTTAATAATTACAGTAGAACCTCGAAAACTCGGCTCTCGATAACTCGGCCACACCCTGGCAGGGCAAAAAAATCCTTAGTTAATTAATTTTCATTATAGACAGCTTTATAAAAGTATAAAAGCTCTCATAAAGTATTTTTCTGAGGTCTGTCTTATCGGATAAATTACTTTACACAGTGTATTCATGAATTTTCATTTTCATGTAGTAAAGGCTCTATGCCTTCATAAAGGTTTTCTGTTATATTCTCAAGTAAACAATACATACAAGTAGAGTACAGTATTTTTTGAGGAAACACTCATACTTATTTTTTTTAAACGCATTCCCAATAACCCGGCATTTTCACAAACTCGGCCACCCTTTGGTCCACATTAGGCCGAGTTTTCGAGGTTCTACTGTATAATGGTGAAAATTATGATGGAACTGTAGTTCCTTGTGTTTTGTTGTATAAATCTGTATATCATCAATCTTCACAGGAAATATATCCACAAATTCAATACACAGAACATTTAAGTAATAAGAACATAATTAAAGTTTACCCACTTTGCCTGGTAGAAAGATATCAGTCCGACAACCATAAAAATTCATAAATACTGTGATTTAACATCCGGTGTGAATAAAAATGACATGCCGGAACTGCTTTGAATCCACACAATTTATGACTGAGGTTTTATAAAAGCCAACTTCTCAAATCTAAAATCCAACATAATAGGCAATGTCACTAGCACAAATCCCTAACTCTTAGATCAGAGAGTTTCCTTTCTTAATGCATACAAAATGTTTGTCTTTTATGGCTACCAATAATCACTGTTGGAATATGTTTTAACTATTTTTTTACTCAATAAATATCTCTGCATCATCATCTTAGTGTACTTCCCAAGTTGTACACAGTTGTCAGACTACTAGATGTCTTTCTATAGTGAAGGAGAGATGAATGTTAACTATGGTTATCTCGCATGTTACTTTAGAAATTTGAAGAGAACTTAGAATAATCACAGAATGAGCTCTGTTTCCGTTAATCAATTATAGTAAATACCATTAAAAAAAATGCACTTTAATGTTATAATTAACCAAGATCTTCAAAACAGAAGTATTAAGTACTCCATGCCAGGTCTCGATATCTGATAAAAAGCAATTCTCTTCGTATCGATCAAACGGCATGGTTCCCACTTGCCAAAGATTTCAAAGCATTTGATTGCCTTTTTTTTTTTTTTTACAGACTTTAATATATTTGCCAACATTCCAATTTCTAAAGATTGTCCCAGATATAATTAATTTCTAAAGAAACTGATCATTGCAATTATGAGAAATGCTGGTAGAAAAACTCACTACAAAAACATTGTCTTTTTATTTGTCCCTTTAATTTACTGCAGATATATCCAAAATCTTGTCTTTGGAGATTGCATTATCAACATGCAGATTTAGACATTTTATTCATACATTTTATGCTTTTTACTAAACGTGCTTAATTACAAATCCATTTCAATGTTAAAAAATAAATGGTCAGTAAAACATCTTAATATCTTCCAACATGATTGCCAGTGTTAGGGAACACTCTCGACAAACCTTTATGTCCGGTAACGTTTAAAATTTGTGAAACAAACGTTTTCGGCCTCACTCGAGGTCTGCTTCAGGTTAAATTGAGAAGGAATTCCAAACTTAGAATGCCTGATAGCAAACAATTTCAAATATTAAATTTTAAAATAAAATTGGAATATAGTTATTAACAGTATTTAACGGTTGCAAAAGCGTACCATCTATGTATAAATACATAGGGTGCCCCATGTAAGCCTATTAATTGTGGAACTGGTATAAATGTATCCAGAAGAAAAATCAGCTGAATTGCTTGAAAGAGAAGGAAAAAAGTATAAAAATTGTTAAAAGATTAATGTTAAGGAGTTAGAAAAAATTGGAAGGAAAAAAATTCCTGTAGATTGAATTATAATACCATCTGAAATGGATTCATTACAATATATTTCTTTTTTAAAAATAGATGTAACACAATGTCCAAAAATTATTATTGGGATCAAAATTATGGAAGATTTATCTGTTGAAATATGGCAAAATGAAATTTCAATTGCTCTATCAAAATTTAAGTGGATATTAAGAGATAGCATGATTTATGGAGCGAGTTTGATTGTTTAATAAATCATTTGAGTCAGATATAAGTGATAAACTGGAATATGCATCCATTTTAATTACTGAATGTCTAGAAACTGATCCAAATCTCAGTCCTTCAATAAAATTAAATTTTATTTGTGAACAAATAAATCTTCTTACAATGAAAGTGCCAAAATACTCATCAGAAACACTGTTTTCTCGTAATTTTTTTCCCACATATCCTGTAGCATACAGACTAACAAATCTCTCAATATTGATACTGCCACATCCTGTTTATCTTAAAAAAATGGTAATGGATTTAGGTCATTATCAATCTGAAATAAGTAATTCACATATTACCTACCGTGTTTCCCCAAAAATAAGATATCCTCTGAAAATAAGACCTACCATAGATTTTGCCGAATTGCTAAATATAAGGCCTCCCTCGAAAGTAAGACCTAGCAAAGTTTTTTTTTTACTGGTAACGGTCATCGACAGATGGTTGAAAGTGGCTGTTGGCTTTTTGAAAGTACAGCCACTGATTGGTCAGCAGACAATCACACCACACGGCATGATTTGCATAAAACTATGGCTTAGGAATCACAGATTTGCACAACGTTATGGCTGGTGATGGCTAATTGGTCGCCACATGATATTTGCATAGTGCTACGGTTCAGTAAGCACTAATTGGTCATCGAGCCCGATGTCGATGCTATAAAAAAGTTAAGTTGAAGCAAGAGTGGGAAGTCCACTCCAACACGGGAACTTCGTAAGTTCAGTTCGGTTTTATTTAAGTTCAGTTCGACACACCAGATATACGTCACTCTCGTCTAAGTTCGACTTGGGAATTTTTTTGTTCAATAATAAATGTGAATTCTTTTTCGTGGAAAAAATAAGACATTCCCTGAAAATAAGACCTAGCGCATCTTTCGGAGCAAAAATTAATATAAGACACTGTCTTATTTTCGGGGAAGCATGGTATCTGCACGAAAAATCTAAAATTTTAAATAAGGAAGAATGCATTGTGAATTTATTATTGGATGAAATTTATTTTCCCTACATTAAAAAATTCTGTTTAATTTCATTATAATAATTCATTTCCTGACATATATTTTGCTAATTTGCAGTACCTAAAAACAATGCATTTTCAAGAAAATAGTACTACTGTTAAATTAGCTCCAAAATTGTCTAAGAAGGTGCTTTATCCATCACAGTTAGAGAGAGAAAATGTAGCATCAACTTGCAGTATATTTGATGAAAAAAATATAGCTGCTTTGAGAATCAAACAGCAAATACAAAACAGTATGGAAACTTCTCATTTTCTTGATATAATCTCAAAATGGTGAAAAATAGTAAATGTTAAATATCCACATAAAGGGAAATTTTAAAAGACAAATTTTCTGAACCAATAACAGATACTTCAAATTTTAAAGTTATATTTTTAAAAGACATGTTTAAATGGCTCCAAGTATGGAATAATTATAATCATCAGTTGCTCAAATGTCCAGTAATCGACATGGGAAATTAACAGTAGAAACTCAAAAAGCATTAGAGCATACAATTAAAGCAATATATGAACTTACAGAATTTATATTAAATGAATTTGAAGCACATTATGTGTTATTGGGTAAATTTCAAACAGATACGCTGGAATCTCACTTTGGACAGTATAGACTAATGTCAGGAAGTAACTATCATATTTCTGTTTCTGAAGTTATTGAATCAGAAAGAAAACTGAAATTAATAAGCCTGCTAAATATGAAATCATCCAAAATTGGGAACTTTCAAATTAGAGCATCTCTTGAATCTTGTGTTAATAGTACAGATTTGGATAAATCTGATTTTGATGTTGAAGAAGCATTTGAAGGCATATCGGAAAAATCTGATATTATTATTATTATTACAGAACATGTCAGTTCTGATTTACAGTGCAGGCTATGTTGCATATTCAGTAATTAAAGAAACTTCTTGTGAACAATGTAAATTATTACCAGCATGTAATTCTGCACTAGAGTATGAATGCTCAGATGCTGATTTGACAAAATATCTGAACTTAATTGACAGAGGTGGTCTTAAATGGCCACAATAATTTGTTGTTTTACTATGCATAAATACNTGTAGTACAGATTTGGATAAATCTGATTTTGATGTTGAAGAAGCATTTGAAGGCATATCGGAAAAATCTGATATTATTATTATTATTACAGAACATGTCAGTTCTGATTTACAGTGCAGGCTATGTTGCATATTCAGTAATTAAAGAAACTTCTTGTGAACAATGTAAATTATTACCAGCATGTAATTCTCCACTAGAGTATGAATGCTCAGATGCTGATTTGACAAAATATCTGAACTTAATTGACAGAGGTGGTCTTAAATGGCCACAATAATTTGTTGTTTTACTATGCATAAATACCTTTCAGATATTTCAGACCATTCTGAATGAGTATGAATGCAAATTTTTGGCACTAAAAAAATGGAAAGAATGCTTTAGTGAGCTTAGTAATGAATAAAATAGTTGAAAATAATGAATTTTGTTTTCAAAATAATATTTGCAGTTGTAAGAAAGATAGAATTCAATTGATGAAATGTCATGTCAAGATAATGTCCAACATATTATAAGGACCTTGAATAAGTTCTCGCTGTTTTTTTGTGAAAATTAACACTTTATTTTAAAAAAGTCGTAATAAACACATCACTGAAAGTATTGTCCATTGCTAGCCACTACTTTCTCCCATCGTTCTGGCAGCATTTGAATTCCATGTCGGAAAAACGACACGTCTTTTGAGGCTATCCAAGAATCAACCCATTTTTTGGCATCTTCATAAGAACGAAAGTGCTGCTCAGCCAGGCCATGTGACATCGATTGGAACAAGTGATAATCGGAAGGGGCAATGTCTGGTGAATATGGCGGGTGGGGTAGGACTTCCCATTTAAGTGTTTCCAAGTACGTTTTCACCGGTTGTGCAACATGTGGCCGAGCATTGTCATGTTGCAAAATCACTTTGTCGTGTCTCTGCTCATATAGCGGCCGTTTTTCCTTCAATGCTTGGCTCAAACGCATCAATTGTAGTCGATAGCGATCTCCCGTGATAGTTTCGTTTGGTTTGAGCAGCTCGTAATAAACTACACCTAGCTGATCCCACCAAATGCAGAGCAGAAGCTTCGAACCATGGATATTCGGCCTTGCTGACGATGTTGATGCATGACCGGGCTTACCCCACGATTTTCTACGCTTAGGGTTATCGTAGTGTATCCATTTTTCGTCACCTGTCACGATACGATGCAGAAAACCTTTCCTTTTCTGCCGTTGAAGCAGCTGTTCACATGTGAAAAGACGCCGTTCGACATCTCTCGGCTTCAACTCGTACGGCACCCAATGTCCTTGCTTTTGAATCATTCCTAATCCTTTTAAACGTTTCGAAACTGTTGTGTGATCAACTCCTAATGATTCTGCAAGTTCAGCTAGCGTCTGACATGAGTCTTCATGAAGTAATGCCTCTAATTCCTTGTCTTCAAACTTTTTTGGTGCACCAGATCGTTCTTTATCTTCAACATCAAAATCATTATTTTTGAAGCGTCTAAACCAATCTCTGCATGTTGTTTCCGACAGAGCATGGTCACCGTAAGTCTCAACAAGAATTCTGTGTGCTTCTGCTGCAGATTTTTTTTGAATAAAATAGTGCAATAAAATTCCTCGCAAATACTCTTTTTTTGGCACAAAACTAGACATGTTTAACACAATGAAAAAATAAGTTGTTTACACTTCGGTGAAATGACATATACTGAATTTCAAGGTCACTTATTGTACTTCCTTACAGATGCGTCACCATCTAAAAATAAACACACGTGGTTCTGGTAATGTCATCTGTTAAAGAACAGCGAGAACTTATTCAAGGTCCTTATAATAAATGATTATTGCAAAATTAGAAATGAAAAATTAAAAGAAAGGAAACCAGTCAGAAAGTTAATGACATTTAAAAAGTAATGTTAATACTGATTATAAACCAGCTTTGTAGATAATAAACGTGTTAAATAGTCTGTAACTAAAATTGTTTTATTTATATAATTTAACATATAATAATTTAACATATAAAAAATTATCAATTCATGCTTATAATTTTTAAACACCTATTGAAATAATTATTATTGATAAAACGTTAAATTATTGAATTGAACAATATATATACAATTACAGTAAAATATGATATATTATTTAAGAGACATACCTCTAGGATAAAATGTAAGTGGATTATGTGATAAACTAACATGGTCCCAGCGTATGACATCACACAACTAGTATTACGGCCTGTACTGGAGGTGCCATGTGTATCGTGTGACCTGGAATAGGCGCAAGCCAACCCATGTATTAGTTCTTTCTTGTATCCATGTCCAATCGCAATGCACTCTAGATGTTGTGGTTCATTTACCATGTCTCTCCAATTGGAATGGTGTGTATAAGCCCTCCTAACCAAAGGTGAGTTCGCATGTGCCTATTCCAGGCCACGCGATACACGTGGCATCCCAGTACCCAAAGGGCTCACAACAGAGATCGAAATCGGGACCATTGAACTGGTTTTTGATTGCACTACAGTTGAGTGCAACCAACAACTTCATGCCTTGTATAAAGAAATTGCAGCCAAAACAGGCACCAAATTTACCAACAAAATATCCCCCCTCTATATATACGTTATTGTGCAATGCGAAAGACTAGTTGGACGATCTCAGGCTCCGGGTGTATACAGTGTCCCGATGAGGGACCACAGGTTTAGGCAAGACCTGGTGTACATCGGCTCTACCAAACATTCCATCCAACAGAGAGTCTGTGAGCACAAATATGACATAGATCACAATGCACGATACACCACTGTCCTATCCACCTATGCCATCGACCCAGAAGTTCATGCGGCCCCGTCCAGTGCCAGGCTGATAAAAAGAGCCTTTTCACCAGGGTCCTCGAGGCCCTTGAATTATATTATACAAGGCTGGCGTGGCGGGTAGATGTATCAACTTTAAGGACAGCAATGCATTACCATACGCCTGGCACTACTACGTATGTGAGGAACAAGTTGCTGACACTCCATGAGTAAGTACTATTTATATTTATACCAGTCCCACAATTAATAGGCTTACATGGGACACCCTATATATTTATACATAAATGGCGTATTTTTGAAACTGTTAAATACAGTTAATAACCATATTCCTATTTTATTTTAAAATTTAAGATTTGAAATTGTTTGATACCAGGCTTTCTAAGTTTGGAATTCCTTCTTAATTTAACCTGAAGCAGACCTCGAGTGAGGCCGAAAACGTTCGTTTCACGAATTTTAAATGTTACCGAACAAAGGTTCCTTGAGAGTGTTCAAAACATTTCATTTTCTATTTAGCATTTAGCTAATCAAATTACTAGCTTTCTCATCTTCCACTTGATTATTTTCTGACTAAAAAATCTGTAAATTTTAGAATTCTTTTCGACAATTTAGAATTTATTCATGTTTGATGCACTGTTGAATTCATATTTATCCATCAGAAGCAATAACACAGTAACATTGTGCACGGAAGCAATGCAGATTAGTTAAGGTGCACTTTTACATCAATTGGTTTATTTTCTGAGAATGTGCCATTTTCTTTCAAAGGTTCTTTGCTCCCTTATTTCTGATACTCTCAAATGTGTTTTTTTCCTCATTGTTGACAAAAAACAGCATATAACATTCAGTAAACTAATTGTCAAACTTTGTGAAGTTAATGTATAACAAAATATATATATTTACTTACTTGAATGTCTTTAACATTTGGAAATGGTATTCCGACCTGTAAATAAAATTTCTGGTTTAAAATTTTTTAATTTTGTAAAATGACTTCATTGTGAATACAGGTAAATAAAGAATATAAAAGAACAATTTAAATGATTATTTCTAGTAAAATTTTGAAAAATTCAGTTGTGATCTCAAAAATTTCTTTTTAATAATGTGTTTGTTCAAATTTGCAAATACTGAGATCCAAAAAGTTATTCCAACAGGCATTTCTTGAAGAGTATTGAAAATTGAAAAAGGCTCAATATTAATCAAATTATATATGCATTGGTGCTCAAAAGTTAAACAATAAATGCAAAACCAAAAATATACCTATAATGATTTAAGAGATTTAAGGGTTAGGTGCAGTCAATTATGGTTATCAGCCTGTTAATAGGACATGCTGCATATTAGGACAAAACATTCAAGAATGGAATCAAATCCTATGACGTAAGCATAATTTACTTTGCCTACTGGCCCCGAAATGCTGCTTAGTAGTGCTGATAGCACAGTATTTTTCTTGGAAAACAAACAAAAAGGATGCAAATTTGGATATTTTCAGCTTTTCCATACACGACCTCCATCCAATTTCCTTTATCAGCTATCAATCATGATTAAGAAACATAAGAATTATGATTGAATGAGAAAGGGGAAGACAAGAAGCAGGTCTTGTCTTCTCCTTTCTCACTCAATCGTGACAAATTGTCTTGACCACTCATACAGATCACGTTTCAACAAGGTGTGAACCACTGCAATACAAAATGATGAGACAGAAATTCTCGGAAATTCTTCATTTCCTACCTCACGTCCCCACCCCACTTTTGTCTTTCTGTCCTAGCACCAACTATCAGCAACTGGCAGAGATAACATGTGTGCCCAGAAACCAAATCTCACGCTTGATAAAGCAGGAAGATAAACTTCGAGAAGAATGGACATTCTGCAAAGGAAGCCAGGAACAATCTGGAAATGGAAACATGAGGGCAATCCGGAGGGAAGCACGATTGAGAGCAATGTTGACTTCTGGATAAGTCGACGATGCTCTCAATCAATGTTTGCCACTGTAACTGCGAAAGGTGTTTGTGTTAGTGGTCCAATGCTCAAATGCCAAGCAGAGGTTCTCACTAAACAGCTGAATCACCATGATTTCAAAGCAACAGATGGTTGGTTGTCTCAATGGAAATCAAATTTAAGAAAGCTCATGGTGAGAAGGAAAGTGACAATGTCACAAGTGCAGATGAATGGAAAAATATCAAATTGCTTGAACTTTCGGAGAAGTTTTCATCAGATGACATCTACAATTTAGATGAAACTGAACTTTATTATCGTGCTACGCCAGATGGATTGTTGTGCTACAAGCACATTGCTTTATCTGGTTCCAAGAAAGCAATGGATCACATAACTGTGTTGCGTTGCTCGAACTTGTCAGGTGGCGACAAACAGAAGCTGTTGGTCATTGGGAAAAGTGTGAAGCCCTAATGTTTTAAAGGTCTTCAAATGGACACATTGCCAGTGGTTTACCATTCAAACAAAAATGCATGGATGACCTCTGAACATTTTAAGGACTGACTTAAAACGTAGGATCGAGAAGTAAGACGAAGCTCAAGAAAAGTCATCTTGCTGTTGGACAACTGTGTCACACATCCTCATTTGGTTTGCCTGAAAAACAACCAGATTGAATTTTTGCCTTCCCAGACCACTTCTTAAATACAGCCAATGGATATGGGGATCATAAAGAACTTGAAGACACTGTACCGTGAACAACTGATAAATTTTATTCTCCAAGCAACTGAAGATAATCTACTATCATCATCTTTAACTGCCATCGAAGTAAGCTCGAAGGTCAATGTGAGAATCTAGAATTAAAAGGAAAGTCATTTTTGGGCAAAAACAAGGAGAGAAAAAGATTTATAAATTAATAGAAAATAATATTTTTAAATCTCAATGAATTTTACAAAAAACGGATGTCAAAAGAAACTTTTGATTTTAGAAATCAACTTGATTTCCTTTCCTACGGCCGACTCACGAGATGGGTCAAAAATGCAACCTTTGCACACGCTACTTGGCCATCACAGAAGGCCAATATAAAAGGGACATTTTTCCGCCATTCGGGTAAGTCCATCGAAAGAGGTATTGTCACACGAAGAACGTCTGCCATACAAGTCTGTCATACGAGATTGTTAATTGAAAGTCATACTACAGAGTCCTCCATATGAAGTATAGATTCAGTTATACGACAAGATTGTCATAAGAAAAGTTATCTTTAAAGGAAAGTGCCATAGAAAATATAATAATATCCATAATTACAGAAAATTCTCATACATTGAAATATTGAAAGAACTGAAAAGGTAATATGATAACTGTTAGATCGATGTGAACTCTCTCTCACATGTCAGGTTTAATATAAGCTTAGGTTTAAGCTAGTTATTTAGATTTAGGTTTAAGGACAATTTGTTATTTATTCATTTGTATACTTTTAATATTTTTGATTTATTAAATGTTTTGGTTTATTTTATAAAATGGTCTGGTTAATGTTAGATATTCACACTTATACTTATTCAGGTTACTTGTGTTCTTCATACTCACAAGTTAGTGATAACGTGTGTTAACCCGCATGTAATAAAACTGATTAACTGGTGTCGGGAAACCTGATAAGAAAAAACATGATTACACAATCAGCTAATTCAGCTTTTGTTTTACTTCAAACTAAGTCCCTCCGCACTCGATTTCTTTGATAGAAAAGCCATTCTTTTAGACAACCCAAGGGCTATTCAAACGGATAGCTGCCAAATAAGTGGTACAAAAGTCTTAACTACTCCGTATCCCCAACTAGCCCCTCACATCAACATTTTACAAGTAATCCAGTTCCTAAGTAACAGTTGGCAAAAGATAAGCAGCAAGATGATTCAAAACTGCCTTGATCATTGTGGTTTCAAGCACTCGGACTCAGCAATGCAAGCAGTGGCAGCAGACAGCAATGAGAATGACGTTAATTAATGCAGAAGTGCAACAAGTTCATCAATACAATGAGTTTTTATGAGTTGACAATCTTCAATGCTATAAAGATCTGGAAGATGGGATTTTGGCAGAAATCACGGCAAAACATCAAAAGAACAAGAAAGTGAAGATAATGACATTTCTGAGTCTGAGCCAGCAGCAAGCAATGATGCCAAAAATTTCATTGATGAACTACGGCACTACTTCATGCTGCAATGAAGGTAGTCCCATGTTTGCATATCTGTGCAGATTTTGTTTCGGTGCGGTCAATCAAGAAGACATCAAGTCACACTGGACAGATTCCTACAATAAATCTGATAAGAACATTTAATCATTCTGTACGACACAGCGTAAGGATGATGCATGTGAAATTAAAGATTAGCAAAAGAATCTTCCTGTTTTCTAGATTGTACTGCAATGTTTTTTTGTACAAAAATAATTTCTCATCATTAAAATGGTTTTATTGCATTCTGATGTTTGTTTTATTAGTGAGAACACATATTGACATAGCTCTTTAACATAACTTGTTATATCATATCTCAATTACATAACTTATTAGGATGTTCATTTAGTAGCACCGAAAAGCTCCGGTCCCAATGCCATGCTGTTAAGTGAAATTGACTATATTATATATTACAACATTGTAAGAAAGAAGATTTAAAGGTTGGTTTAACATAATTTGTTTTGACCTTCAGAAAGCAAATACCTACCTATCATATCGTATGGTGATAAATTTGTAGAGATGTGGCAAGTTAAAAATAAAATTGTCATTACTACATAGTAGATCTGAGCTACTAGAAATTGAGGAGATGTAGGAATATAAATTTTCAGTCTTTGTAGTGTCCCAAATGTATTTGATGAGATTTACATTGAACAGTCTGGATGGCTAATCCACATGAATTACAGTTTCACTTTTAAGATATCAGTCAACTGAATAAACTTTTTTTTTGTAAACTCTTCCCATCCTGTGGGCACTAAGAGGAACTTTTACCAAGGCTGTTATGGGTTTGGATGGACTCACAACTGAGTGACCAAGTGATGAGAGATGTGACCCGACATATTTGGATGGACCACCCCAAAAAATTTATGGGGTTTTTTGACCCATCTGGAACAGATCCCAGGACCTTAAAGCAGTAAGCCACTACCTTAAATGCTCTGCCAACTGGCCATCATGTAAGATCTATGGAGACAAACCTCATCATCCATTTATGTGTCATCCATACTCATTGCTGCAACAAGTAAAAGAATATAGGATTTTGAAATGTTATCTTGATATTTAATTAATTAAAATTCTGAGTATCTCCGGAGAAAACATGAGGTTTATGTGGCCATCATTTGAAATGAGAAGTCTACACCATCAAACCAACATTTCCAAAATTTTTATGGGTTAAAATCAGGAAGAGAGTTTTTGTTTACAAGACAATAAAACAATTAACGACTTATTAACAACAGTAGTAGTAGTAAGTCAGGATAGGCCTAAAAAATAACACCTTCTTCTCAAATTTCACACAAAACTGATGTTAATAGGTGTAGGCTGAGGTAATTTACAGCTGGTTTCTTAAATTTAATATGTTTATTTTGCATTTTTGAATCAAACAACAATAAAATACATAAAAAAAGCACTTTTGAAATTCCACAAGAATTTTTTGTTGTTAGAAAGAAGAAAGTAAAATGAAGAAATTAAATGTATAATCATAGTTTTAGATGTAATGCAGACAATTTTACAGTTTTAGAATAAAAAACTCATTCATTTTTATGTGATGTAACTTGTTCATTTTTTAATGCACCCTATAGAGAAAGACGTATAGCCTCACTTTAACCGGCATTCCGAGATAAATTGGCATGCCGATCATTCCATGAAAATATGGTAAGTGTGTGAGTGGTCTAAGAGAAAAGTAAGCTCTCATGCCACAGAGATTTGATATCATCTTGCATTTAGAAAAACATGTGATCTTTCATCAATATTTCATTTAGACATCCAGGAACTGTTCTTTTCCAAATCTAATAACCCATTTTAAAAATGTTTCCAAAGACAACTTACATTGCTATGATTAGCATTTAGCCACCTAGCTATCTGATTTTGTCCCATCTGGAACTCGCTAGTGCCCTCCACTCATTTAAGTATTGTCAGAAGGTTCTGTATTTGCAACTTTATACAACAGGAATCTTAATATGCAAAATGAAATGGCCATTTAGTGAGGTGTTTTATATGTTTAATTAATTTGTATGTGGAATTTATGAAAAATTTTGTGCAAAATTTATATTGATGGATTATCTAAATATCATATTTTAGTGCATTTCTTTCATTTATCTAAAGTTAAGCAACAAATCTTGGCCTAATATTTGATCATCTGCATATGTGAAAAATTTTGGAGTAAGACAATCTCTGATTTACTTTTCTCCCAGAATTACAATTTTGGTAGTTTTCAAAAATTGTCAACTTGATCAAAAGGAGAGAAAAAGGTGCAGATCTAACCAATGGCAACCTTTCTATCTTAAGAAAATTCTTAATTTGCCATTGAAAATGGTGGGAAAAAAGACAACAATTCCAAAAGATTGGTCTCTTTTGAGTAATTGTAAATTGTTCAAAAAGAAATTCAAATTGTTAAATTTTTATATTATTAAACTTACAGAGATCACTGCTCTGGCATAGTTGTCGGAAAAATTAAGCCCCTCGCTCACTTTACCGCGAAAGACGGCAAAGAAGATGGATCCGTTCACATTTTCTATACAAAAAGAAATTTGTTATCTTTCAATTAAAGTCCCATAACACATACAGTTCAATTTATATTCTGTAAGAATGCTAAAATATATGTTTACCATCTGTGACATTATCATAAAATTCTGTCATTATTTCTTCAAAATTTCTTTTGTCATTCTTTTTTGATTCGGATACGATTTTCTTGACCACTTCTATCTGTTCCCACATTCCCGTCAGCTGAAAATATTCAAAATTCTCAATTATAAATTAATCATATTTATTTACATTTGTAATGATTACTATTGTTATTTTTCCCTAAATTTGTATAAGGCAGTCTCTAATGTTGTGGAGACATTCATTTCCAAATGTAATTTTAAGTTTTATAACAATGAAATGTTTCTGGCTTGTTAGTTAAAAGTAACTGCAAATATCAACATTTTAAGTTAGCATCTGTATTCAAAATTGATTGAAAGGTGACATAACTCATTTGGAATAGGCTTCTGACAAAAATCTTACCTTAACAATAATATTAAGAATGCCATTGAGTGCTTACCTTCCACCTGTTTGTTAACTTTTCCATCATGCTGTAAGAGGCAAAAAAACACAAAACTCCACAAGGAACTATCTGACAATGAAACAAAGTCATACATAAATTATAAAAAAATACATGACAGAAGGCTTAATAAGTTATACTAAAGTAAATAAACTTTACACGATTAAGTTAATTCTTATTTTTACTTAGAATCTCACCTGGCATATATTAAGAACCACTCGTCCCAGTTCGTCCTGAAAGGCAAATGTATCTGTCTGGTTATAAACCGCCTTCAGTTGGGTGCCGGTGGGTCCACATCCGATAGAGCCAACCCATATCTGATTAAAAAACAAGCTATTTTAAAAACACTATGTGCAAGAGATACAGATACAGTCAAACCTTGGATTCAAACTTAATTTGTTCCTAAAAGTTGTTCGAAAACCAATTTGTTCTCAAACCAAAACAAATTTTCCCATAAGAAACAATATTAAATGAATTAATCTGTTCTCAACCCCAAAACAGTCTTTTTATAAAATCTTTTTTGGTGTATTTCATGCATAAAAATGCATTCAAATGCAATATATAATATAATGTTATCTATATCAATATCCATTATACCATTATATATATATATATATATATTAAAAACCAAATGTTCTGTCACCACCAACCAAAACTGAAACCACCAATTTACCATCAAAAAATGCTATAAATAGAGACTCGACTCTGCCTGGATGAAGCATAACCAAATCAATCGAGATAGACAAGTACTTTATCCACACTTTCCAAAATATTGTTTGAATTACTTTGATTTCAATTTTAATTTTAGTTTTAGTCTCAGTTTTGGTGTAAAGGCCAGAGTTTTAATTATTATTTTATTATTTTTAGTTTTAATTAACTGGCTACCTATTACGGATAAATATTAAATTAAATATTAATGTTATAATATATATTACATTAATAAATTTTTGTTATTTAATTTGAGTTAAGTACCTTTAAACACAGATTTGTGAATGTCATTTATATTACGCAAATGTCAATGGAGTTTTTATTAATTACTTTGATTTAAATTCAATTGCAACATGTACCAATAAATGGTATTAGTATCTTACTGTGCATTGAAATCTAATTTGGATAGCAACATTGTCAATGGTTTGTGCCGTGATGTGTAATGACGCCAGGCCATCTCGATGCCACTAACTAACTTCTGAATCAGTAGGCCTGATGACTTTCTTTAAACAGGAGTATAAGGAGTTGATCATCTGTCTCTCCCTAATCTGTAACTGGCTCTTGCTCTTGTTTGGCAACTGGCGCAAATATGGATTAAAAATTTTGTTCATAAACAAAATTGTTCGAAACACAAGATTTGACTGTATTGCACACAATAAGTTTAAATATCGAGCAAATCTCTGTTTACAAAAGTATATTAGGACATCATCACCTGACTTTTAGAGACTATGTGATTGGCTTCCAAGGAGATAGGAAATTCCACTTCGAGTTCTGACTGAAAGGTCATCATGGGAGACAGGGTACCCGATGAGACAACTATGGAATGAATTTCATCTTTGAACTTTGAAAATGCCTGAAAGTTAATTTTTGATACATTAACTAAATGAAAATGGAGTGTTTTTAATTGAATATGTTCTTTAATGGATTAATGAAATACATATGGAATAGAGAAAACATATCATTGATACCAGAAAAAATAATAATTTTAGAAAACAGCTAGTCATTACAATATGCAATGTTTATTTCATTTAATCATACTTACAACAGCAGGATTCAGACACCAGATTTTGAGGCTGTACGTCCATCCTTTAGAATTTTTACTAACAAATCCATGCTCCTGGAAAAAAAACAAAGTTAAATTTCTTTTGATAGTAAAATTTTTTGTGTGTAACATAAACATAAATCATTTCCATCTCCAAATTATATCTCTACAAGAGATAATACTTAAGGGCAAGCTTGACACTTCAGTATTTATGGCATGTCAAAAGATCACATTGCTATATAAATAAGTAAATTTCATTGTTTCAATTAGAGAACTAAGTGTGTCCAACCAAAAATTAAGCATGGAACAACTGCTCTTGAAATGAATGCATGATGAAATGAAAAACAGCATCTTGAATATTTTGAGAGAAGTAATTATTATAGGAACAATAACTGGAACACAAAAAAAAAACTATTAAAATAGTGTTGTTGTTGTGTTTTCAGCCTTGTGCACTGTGTTTTCTGTTTCAAATGTATACAATGGCATAGAGAACTTCCTGCAAAACTTGAAAATATCCAACTTTTTTCATCATTTCCATTGAAAATTTTGTGATAACTAAAATGGAAAGTTAATACTACTTACGATGTAGAAAACACGAAATAAAATGGCATGGAAAATACGGATTTAGGTGTGAGGATCTGAATCCCGACTTTTAGTATGTTTACATCATTTATTCATAACGTCACATCCTAACTATAATCTTGTTAACTAACTGTCAACTTTTGCACCTGGGAGCAAAACATCTGTTTAGTTCTCAGGCCTGACAACAATGTTTTCTCATCACCTCTCAACCTAATATCTTGATTTCATCGGTTCAACAACGAAAAAAATCAAGAAACTAAGGCAGTCGTCACCCGTCCTTCCAAAGAGTCAGTTGTCACCTATACCTTGTCCTAAGTGCCTAAATATTTGGATATCTGTGAATCTATCATTTTATTTTACGTTCCTATATTCTTCTAATACATCATCGGAAACCATTGTCTAACACCTTTGTGGATATGTTCCATCAGGCTTATGGATATTTCATCTGCAGGATACCCGAACTTACATCCCAAATATCCTCTCTTTCAACCAGAATGTTCCAGATCAAGACCAGATCCTCAATAAGGTATTTATCGCCACACGCTCTTATTGTAAACTCTCTCTCTCTCGAATGTGACATTAGGTCTAGATATCTCTATTGATGCTCTGTACAATCATGGATTTCTCGTCTTTTACAAATAAATGTTGTTTCGTTAATGAGGTCTCTGCATGAGTCACTTCCAGTGCACTGTCTCTCACTCCATCCCGAACCCGATCACTTTGTTATGTGACTGCTCGTGTGATCTATTTCACGGCTTCCGTGTCAACTGAGACGCGGTGGTGTCAATTCCGACGAGGCATCGAAGAGGTGCCGACCCTTTGGTCACATAGGAATCTTAAGATATGGCTAAAGATACATGCTTATACTAGTCTTGTTGACAAAAACAGATTGAGAAATCAGAATCAAAAGTTATTAGTATAAATGTAATGACAATAGTAATAAATGACCACAATATCATAGCAAAGAGACAATTTCCTGTGAAACAATCATATAACTTAAAGAACTCTTTAGCACCTCATAGGACCTCCTCTTACCTAAATATGTGTGATATGATTGGACCAACTGTTGATAAAATTGTGGCAAAATAGTAATCCCACTTTCCACAATACCAAAAATATTATGGTACAAAGACATTTTATTTCTTCTCTCTTTCCTCCTCCTCACCTCTGCCCTAGTAGCCAACTGTCTCGTCTGCTTCTTATTTCCTCCACGTTCCTTCCTGTGGCTGCTGGCTTCCAAGGAAATGGACTCACACCTCTCTCTTTGCATCCACCAAGAAGGTGATATTACCAAATAATTACACATATTTCCAAGAACCACTATTAATCATTTCCAGAGAAGTAATAAATTGTTAAAAATTACGTGACAACCTCTGGAAAATGATGTTACTCATTTCTTTAGTTTCAAGTGAGCATGTACAGTACCTGCAACAGAAAGTGGCAGTCTACTATTTTTTTTTTAAAAACAAGCAAGAACACCACAGTAGTGTATCACTCGGTAGAAATATGAATAATGATTGCTCAGTTTATAATTTTTCTTTAGTCTCCATAAAAGACTATCAGTTGTCACTGGATTTTTAGATTAATTGCCAATTACTACTGAAAATCTCATGTTGTGAATAAAGATGCTATATGCTGTTTCTACTACCAAATGTTTGGAGTTGACAATAAAAGCAACAAAGCTCTTACTAAGCATGGATTTAATGTATGATCAAATATATCAACAGCCCTTTGTCCCCTCAGAAAATGGTTATAAACATTCTGCTTCCTGTAAATATTTCAATGTGCTTTTGAAAATGAACAATACAAGCAAAAATATTGTCAATAAAATAGACAATCAACACGAAAATTATGAATGTATTTCTTTGTTGTCATTAATAAATTATTTTTCATCAAACTTCTTCAGCCATGCATAATGTCTGACTACATTGTATAAGCATGGCTGGTGTTTTGAAGATCTTCAAACAACAGGTATGCTGAAAATTCTGAACAAGTTCTCTGCTAGCCTTTTATAGGATACTGGCATAACAATTTTAAAGTACTCTCTGGTGTTATTACCATGTAATTTGACTATATCTGTAATCATTTATACACATATCATACATTCATTCATTAGCCATACAAGTAAAAATGATTATTGGGTCATTTTTATTTTTATGGTTAATGGGATTATTAATGAATTAGAGAAAGAAGAACTGGATAAAAAAATCATGATAGTCAAATATGTAAAATTGAAAAAATTAGTAGCACAGTTACAAAGTTGGATCAAAAGGTTATTGGCATCAAGGATACTTGGGACAAACAATTCTATAGATGAATACGGCAACAATTGGAACAATAAAGCACAAGGGTTTCAGAATCTGTTAATGCCACAGATTTTGCACATTGACAAATCAGAGACAGTAAATTATACAAACTTAAAATACCATATAAGCTATCAAAAACAAAACTGAAACAGTTCCATGGAGAATTAATAAAATGTGTTAAGCTGGTGATCTCAGTTCTCACAAATACACAAAGATGACAGATTGCATAAAGTGGATAAATTCCAATATTTGTTGCAGTCAACAAAAATTAATTCTAGAGCTAGACAAAGGTTAGTTCTAGAATTATCCACTCAGAAAATTATCTGAAAGTCATCAACATCATCTTTTTTATTTTATTTTTTTAATTTCTCAAAAAGACACTGTGACCAGGTTGGCCTTTTACAAGCATCATAAAGCAAAAATCAACAAAACCAACAAAAAAGAATAAAGGCTTGTGAGCAATAAGATTGGCTTTACTTTATCACTAGACTTATTATAACACCACAGGACATCAAATTAGATTTAGAAAATAGTGTTTTTCTAAATGTAATTTGATGTCCTGTGGTGCTGTAACAAGTCTAGCGATAAAGTAAAGCCAATCTTAGGGCTCACAAGCCATTCAGAAGACTAGACAAGAAGCGTATCATAGTAAAAAAGAATAAGTAAAACAAAAACAGGACACAAGCTGAGAAAAATAATTACATCCTACCTCAAGTCCAAAATTAATTGAAAACAAATTTCACTGTGGCTTAAAGTTTTTTCCTTTTTTTACATTCTTTTTGAAGATTTCATAATTTGATATGCTACATAAATCATTGCACAGACTATTCCAATTGAAGATTAATTGAAAGATCAATGCAGATCTCCCCACCTCTAGTTTAACAATTGGGAGACTATATCCACAAATTATACAAGTATCTCGTGTTGATCTGCGACATTCTCCTATACCAATTACGAGGAAACCGTTTTCCTTTTTGCCCTTTATACATTTGAAACCCTCCAACAGAATCTGTTTCTTGTAAATTTCACTAAACTTGTCAATATTATCACTGTGGTAGAGTTTGGATATTGATTCCATAAAGTTTAAATTATACATTGAACGCGTGTAAGGATTTTGTGCCATCCGAAGTTTATTAATGGCGTACAGAGATGCGATTCCCCATACAGCGATACCATATCTTATTTTAGATTCAATGCAAGTGTGGTATGGCTGTTTCAAGAGTGATGTACTTAAAAAAGCTTGAATTTTCTTATTTATCCCAGTATACTTTGCCAGGAAAAGTGTAATCATCATCTGTGTGTTTATTCCAGCACAGATTGTCGTCAAAAGTTACTCCCAAAAACTTAATAGCATTTACTTTTTCTATGTTATAATATTCTATGTTATCGTTGGAGGTGAGGATCAAGGAACACAAGGCGGACATCCTACATAAAAGATATTCGACAGCACAATTTGCCACGGACCCTGATATAGAAGCTGTATTTGACAAGTCAAAGATAATTTACACCACACAGCTAATACACCATTTGCGCTGGATGGAAGCAATATATATCTATAAAACAGCAAAAGAAGACAACTGTATAAACAATAAAGATGTACTGTCCTTGTCGATGGCATGGCAAACTCTTATTTACAACACTTGAGAAGCCAAAAGCGATCCTTCCGTCTACAGAGCATGCGCAAGTTTAACACGATGATTGCACGAGTTTCCTTAGAACACTGTGTTCAAATTTCGAATAACATTGACCCGTTTCACCTGAGGAAGAACGAAGTTCGAAAACGTTAGTGAAATAGTTGGAAATAAGCACTGTGTTGGTTTACTGCTGAAGTAAATCGTATATATATTACTATGTCTCCATGCTGATTAGGTTTTCTTTCTATTTTTTCTTGCCAATAGTCTTTTATATATGGTGGAGGATTTACATCATTTGTCTGAGTCTCACAAAAAGCTAATACATCAAAGTTGCAGTTATATTCCTCAGTTGTTTTAAGTATTTCTAATATTTATTATTTAAACCTTTTACGTTGCAATAAAAAACGAATATGCCCTTTTTGGAGAAGTCTATCTTTGTATATGTTAATAATTCAGTCAATCCGAAAAATTCTCTCTAAACTGTCCAATATTGATATTCGAATTGTGGTAGAAGAAGTATCTTTTTTTAAATATACATTTCCGTTATTTGTCCAAGTGTTTAATATTTTTCCTTGTTTTTTAGCGTTCTGGTTTTATAGAAAATATTTCTGTAATATGGAGTAAGATGTTCATTTATATATGTTTTATATTCCTCATTTATAATGTGACGCGCTTTTGTAGTTATTTTTAACTTATTTTTAATATTATTTATAATTTTTTGTTTGACAACTGAACTGGCACATTTCACTATAATTAGTTGCGATCTAGTTTTGAATTCTTTTCTTTCATTATTACTGGGTTTAATTCTATAGGCATTCAATAGAGCTGACTGATTAAAATTATTGTCAACAAACGAAAAAATTTTATATGCTATTTCTGTTAAATTCTCATTCTGAAGTGTCGGCATGCCAACAACCTCCAAGCTTGAGTTGTTTAGATCCTGCTCCAACATGCAGAATTTTTCTTTTAAAGAATTTAATTATGCCTTCGTATGTTTATTCTCCTCCTTTAGTTCTGTAATTGTTTTGCTTGCAGTTACATAGTCTCTCTCTAAAACGTTAATTCTCTCTTCCATTTTGTCAAACTTATTTGTTATTCTATGTTTGTTTTTTTTATGTTACTGAACTCCAAGTGTATTAATTTCGCTTCTTGTAAAATCATTTCAGAATTTTTGGTAGTTATGCTTAAAGATGACATTGGAGTGAAAGTTAGATTATCTGGTGTTCTATCCACATTCTTATTATAATTATGTGAAGTCATAATAATCTGCTCACACTCACCCAGTTCTCTGTCATCTTCCAGTTCCTGTGTCCAATTTGCATTGTTCTTAATGGTTTTCACTAATTTGCAATCTTCACATTTCCAAGTTTTCAAGTTTTTTTGTAAGACTTGCTGAACTTATGAAAGTTTGCTGCCTGGATCCCAAAACAATAGAAATGAGCAAATTTACAGCAATTGGAACAAGTTAACAAGTCACTTTCCAAAACTTTGTGCTTGCAAAAAGAACAAGCGCTCGAATGACGATTTGCCATAGCTCCACACCTCCTCCACTCTCACACTCTGATACTCTGACATCAATGGCGAATCATTAACACTTCAAATTCTATTATCTAGATTCAAAGATCATTTTGGAGATAATTTTGCTCACTGAAATTTACATGCAGTAAGACAATTACTAAAACTAGTTATTGTCAATGTCAACCAGAAAAAATCCCTTTGAATATTATATACGATCGGCACAAATCGCATCTTTATTCACTAGAAATGTTAGGAGTGACTCCAAAAATTGCAGCTTTTTTGTATTCACTTGTGAAATCTAGCCTTCCAGAGAAAGTTCTTAAAGTTTGGTAGACCACAATCCTCTTTTGGAATACAATGAAGAAAATGCTAACAGCAGCCATATAGATGTACAGCTCAGATCTTTGATAATAGGAAAAATTCCTATTATTAGAGATCTGAAATAAAAATCCAAAATTGTCTGAAAAGAATAATGTTTTGGGAGAAAAGGGAGTTTGTTTTGTTTGCTTTAAGATGGGATGTGGATTAAAAAGCTGTAATATTAGAGCTACTTCTGGATGTACTATTATGTTTTTGTGAAAAAAAGGTGGAGTTATTTCTGATATTAGAAAGGCATTTAAGATGATTGAGATACAGGAACAGAACCATAATTTCCTTCAATTTTATTGGTGGAAAGCTTCACATCTTCTGACACTAGTAAGTAGTCTAAGTAGTCTTTGGCTTAAATTCTTGTTGAGTGCAGTGCTGAGATTTATTTGAGAACTATTTGAAATGAAAGTAGACAGATTGTCTTAAAACTTTTTGAAATCATGTTTCGACATTAGATAACTTCAGTAGACATGTACTATAATTTAGAAACTTTCAATACACGACAATAGATATTATGGCCAGGCACGAATAAAATTCAGACAATGGAATTCTGGCTTTGAGAGCTCTGTCAAGAATCAGGAGATTAAGGATGTGCAAGAGGATTCAATGTTAGTTCTGGGTCCTGTAAAACAAAAGTAGAAGTAATCTAATTGTCTTTTAGTTGCTCCTCTTCATGAAAGAGTAACCAAGTAAATGATGCTTTCATTTGTGCAAAAACTTTGATCCACTGGACTTTTGGAGTTCAGTGCTCCTCTCCTTTCAGCAAAACAAATTGTAAACATTTTCAAGATGCTTTGAAAGAAACAAACAATAAACCTGAGAATTAGACTCTTCTACACGACATGACAGAAAAATTGTAAAGCCAATATGCTATCAGCCATTACTACCCAATAATGAATAATATTTCTTTCTTGATTTCCTGCTGAAGAAAGGTGAGTGAATACAAAACAAAATCATTTGTTAAATTTTTTAAAAAAATTAATGGCAAAGAGTGCCCTTAAAAGTTGCATTTTCTTCCAAAACCTGTTGGGTGAAGACAATGTGGCAGACAATTTTGAATTTAATTTATAGTCCAACAGGCGATAGGAGAATGTCATTTTTGAAAAGAGATTTTAACCAGGTTGTAGATCAATTAGAATTAGGATATTTAACAAGATTTGTGCACAAATGGCCAAATGACTATACCAAGTTTGCCAATTACCAACAAGCCTGATCTACAGTAAAATTCATTAATGAGATGGAAGGCAAATCTTGAAAACCCAAAAAATCCACAGCATACCATAGGAGCCTATAATATGACAGTATTTGGCATTGAAGGTAGCCAGTATACTATCTCATTATGACTTTAACAACTATAATTGCAATAATATATTACAATTCCCAGTACTTAAAAAAAAAACTAATCAAAAAGCAAGTTATATATTGAAAGATTGGCAATACTTACAGACATGAACTGGCTGGAACTCGATTCTTCAAAGTCCACTGAAGGTAAGCGTGTGTAACCCAGTTCTCTCACTATTACGGCTCTAAAAATTGTAAATCAAAATGTTAGAAGTTAATTAAATTTTAAATATAATTCACATGAAAGTGCAATAAAATGGCAAATAAAATTTTTATAATTATTCTAAAGAAATCCATGATCTGTGTCATTTTATAATTATAGTTTTCGTAAATTAATGGAGTGACAACAAGTTTCTGCTCATTTGTGTGGATCTAAATCCCACCTACCTCTTTTTCACTGAATAACCAGAGTGTAATCTCGGTATGGGAGTAAAATTGGCATCAGTGTGGGCCAGCCACCCACTTAATTCTCCATCCAGACTTTCTCGTAATAAAGTATATACCAGACATATGCAACAAATTTTGCATAGCCCTTATTAAAATGAGCAGTAATAGGTCATACTATAAATTATGAACATTTGACATTCTTAACTATACTTCACTAATGTATACAGCTGTTCACAAAAACAGAGTTCACATAATCCAAGATACTAAACAGTTTGTTTAAGAGAACTGAAATCACTTTATTAAGTCTGTAGAAATATGATCTTTATATTTTACATCATGAATGTTTGAACCATTTGAACACAATCATTTGAATTCAAATTCATCTTTAAAATTGTTGAAAGTGTGCATAAAATTGCTTTGGAGAACTTACCAAACAAACACACACGTGATTGATCAGACAGACTTCAGCATTTGCAAATATAGCTGTTATTTATGATGTAAAAAAATTCATTATATATAGAATATAAATGCATTTTAACTAAATAATCCTATATTTATAGATATAGTATTTCGTTCGGCAAGTAAAATATCTGAAGGTTAAAACATACAATTTATTCAACTCTTTATTCTACATATGAATTATGGGTCGACATGAACTCGCGACCCCTATATCTAGAACATTTTTAATTTGTACATATTCAAAAAGAAACAACCATAGGTGGAGATTCAATTTTAGTACAAGTACTGAATAAACACTGGATATACACTTGTGCTTAATATTGAATCGTCATTATGCTTGTAGAAGAAAGAATTGAATAAATTGTACATTTTAACCTTTGGATATTTTATTTGCTAGACAAAATATTACACCTATAAATATAGGATTATTGTATTTAGTTAAAATGTGTAAGAATACAGCAAACATATAATTAAGAGAAATAAAACATAGACAAATATTGTAAATACAAGAAAAAAATGATCATCATTACAATTTGAAAATATTAAAAGCAAATTGTTATTCTGTAGTTTAGTTTAACTTAATAAGAATGTATAAATTTTAAACATGTTTTGCATCATTACTGACATGCTAAAAGAATTATTGTTTGTATATTAAAGCTACACTTTACCAACATTGCAGTCAGAGGTTTTCACAAATTCTCTCAATTAAGAAATTAATAAAAACTGTATTGTAAAAATTGATAGAGATACACTGTATCATTCTATGAAACAACTTGAAAAATTTCATTTTACAACTGTAATACACTTTGTGTGCATTTCCCATCAACGGATCTCGGAATGGCTAAGCAACCCACTGTTTTAATTCATGGTTATGCAAGTATATCTGATATTTGATATTGCTTTCTAGACACTTTTCATAGCAAATGTTATCTTAGTTCTATTGTTGTTGAGCATAAATACAACACTGACTTAGTTATGTATTAATTTGGAATTAATAAATTACAAAATAATTTATAAATTTCATGTACAGTAGAGCCTCGATTATCCGACCCCCGATTAACCGACCGTCCTAGTTGGCAAATTTCAAATGTCCGCTAGTGATGTGGCGCTACAATATTTGGCTATGTCTTGGCTACTTTAATATTATTTTTACGTGTTTTAGCTGGCAACACTGGTTCGACCATGAACGGGAGCCAGTATTTAAACGAGGCTTAATTTTCTAATTTTTAACGATACAATAGCAACGATTATTATTTTAAAAAATTTTTGTTAGGCTTAACATCGATGAAAATTCGACGCGAAGTAGGTTAATAGAGATATATTAATATACTAATTACACGGGATATAATAATATACTACACTAATAATGGATTTTTTCATACTTTTCGGTTATCCGACCAACCTCAGTCCCCAATTGGGTCGGATAATCAAGGCTCTACTGTATTTCAGTATCATTACATGATCTAATTACCCGACTATAACCTAAGTCAAAAACGTATAACAGTGATGTTTTCGAGAACAACATTCCGCCATCGATAACACATTTGAATTCCAAGTACTATGTAGTAGTACTTTCAATGCTAAGTAGCATACCGGGCAGCAATTATCTTCCATTGATCTCAATCATGGGCAAGGACATCAGCTTTCTCCCATGTCATATTGAGCATCTTCAGATCTTGGAGAAAAGTTCTACTCCAAGTATTCCTGGGGCGACTATAATTAAAGTTCGCTACTTTGAGTCAATCTAATAGAAAGACGATCATAAAGTGTAATGTATCTACAGTTTCATGGTTGTCAGCTAATAGACATCTTTCTATGGAGCTAGAGTGAGTAAATGTATTTATGTTTCTTATATTTTATTACTGTAACAACTGACATTCAAAATTTAAAATCTTATAAAACTTCCATATATAATCATGTCATTATGGTAACAGAATATTTGTATTATTTGAAATTCTAATGGTGTGCCATTATTGATGAAATATTTATCTTTAAAATGTTATGATTAAATGCATTTGACTTCTTAAAGATGGGTCAGAAACTTGCATTTGGATCAAAATATAGAATTAGTTCTATATTTAATGCACAAGTTACTTAAAATACATTAAGTTTATTGTGGGAAATGCAGCATGAGTTATATTAGTTAACATTGTTAGTTTTTTTATTAACATTTTGATAAATAATTTTGGAAAGTGTTATTTTAATTCTGTCACATCAACATTTGCTATTTTACTACTGTGAGGCTAACTAGCAATTTATAACTGTTCTATTCTTAATAATTCTACAACCAGTATGATAAGCCTTAGACCATAAGAATGTTACAGCTGTACAAGAGAGTACTTTACTTTTTATTGTTGTTAGTTTTGGAAGTTTATTTAATTTGTGACTTATTGCCATAATTAAATAAATTCTCCAAGCTAAACTTTATATTCTTGATTGACTGAGAAATGATGATATTGAATTAATTTTTAACTATAATTAGTGAATTTTACATTGACCAAATATGTAAACATAGCAGTACTGAAGATTGTAATATTTATTTATGAAGGAATGAAGCAACAAGCATACATTTAATAAGCTTTAACAAACCCTGGAGTTAAGTATTGTTTTAGCATGGCATTTAGCATATCTTTAAGTAAATTAGGACATCAGGCAAATTTATATTATTGTGATAGAATTGAAGTGGAAGAAAAAAGAAAGAAGCGATCCCTGTAATTGTTAGGCACAGAAGATGTGATCCTTGTACCCGCTGGCCATGGGACACACGATCCTTGCTTGCCAACATGAAGATGTGATCCAAGAATCAAGAAATTGCCATCGATTGTTTTGTTCTTGTATTTTGTTTGTTTTTTGCACCTATTTTCCATTAAATGTATGAAATGTTGCTTTTATTTTTGACTCCTAGCACTAAATTCCATTAGGTGCACTCAGTCGCATCAGAAAACACAATACCTCTGTATAGTACATCGTAAGAGAAGCCATAGACTCCTATTTTTACTTTCCTGGCTGTAATATTATAACAGAAGAAAAGTACAATTGATCAAAAAATGACCCCCTAAGAATTTTACATTTTTGGACTTGGGACCTTGAAACATTGAGAATGCAAAAAAATTGGGGGTAATTTTTGCATGTATTGATGTTAGTGTGAGATTATGAAGAGATTTTTAATATCTTTAATAATTGTAAAAAGAAATCATAAAATATTTAAAAAATTCGAAGGAATTTTAGCCACAAAAATTAAAAGGAAAAAGGAGAGGAATTAAGGAAGTTTATTTCCTTTTCTGACCAACTTACTTCCTTCAAAAGTAGTTAGTCATCTGACGACTACATGTTTATTAAGAATCAGATCATTGTCAGATGACAAAATATCCAAATATCCATTGGAGGAGAAGGGTAGTATAAATAAGAGATATGCACCAAAATCCGCACACATCATAAGGTATCCTCTTATTATGAATTTGTGTGCCATACTTCCGGGGATTGGAACTTCCGCCCACCAAATGGAATTAGTATAAGTCGAGTTATTACATAGGTAAAATAATATAGTTTGTAAACTCTCTCTCTCTCATATTAGGTGAGTAGGGGGTGGTGAAGAACCATGACTGAGTGTTTAGCCAAAAACTCAAGAGTTCTGAGGGCTGAATGGGCTGGAGCATTGTTGTGATGGAGAAACCAGTCGCCACACCTGCACATTTGGTCTTTTGCAACGAATGGCGTCCCTCAGACATTTCAGAACTTCAATGTAGTAAATTTGGTTCACCGTGGAGCCTTGGGAGAGGTACTCATGGTGAACAACACCCTTAGCATCAAATAAAACTGTCAGCATCACCTTGACATTGGATTGAACTTGGTGAGCTTTTTTGGGTCTGGGGGACATTTCACCCACCCACTGGGATGATTGGACCTTTGTTTCAATGTCATAACCATAAACACATGATTCATCACCTGTTCTGATCCTTGACAAGAAGTTTTCATCTTTTTCTGAACAATCAAGCAGTTCCTGACAAATCTGGACGCGATTGGCTTTTTGGTCATCCATCATCAGGCGATTGGCTTTTCGGTCATAATTTCGTAACAAGATCAAACTGATATCCCACACTCTTCAAGCTCCCTGATGGTCAGACGTTGATTTGGCCGCACTAGGGTGTTGATTTTGTCAATGTGTGGGTCATCAGTTGACTTGGATGAACGTCCGTCCAGGATGCTCATCATCTTCAATTGACTATCAACCACCCTTAAAATGTTCACGCCACTCGAAACATGCCGTACGCTTCATAGCAACATCACTGTAAGGCGTGCTGAGCATAGCAAATGTTTCAGTTGCAGATTTTCCAAGTTTAACACAAAATTTCACAGCAAGTCATTGCTCCATCAGGTTATTCATTCTGAAATCTGACAAACGAAAAAATTGTGCTTCACTAAAAACAGCATAGCTAATCAACAAATAAAGATATCTGTAATCGGGAAACAGCTTTATCACCAGATGATCTGTACAAACCTAGCAACACCAAGCGGATTCCCCTGGAACCAACTGGAGCTGCGCAATTAAAACAGTCTGCATATTTTCTTGAACAGACCTCACAGAGTGGGTGTAAAAAGGAGCATAGTGAGACAACAAACAGGTGAAAAGCAAATCTGATGGGACACATGATTCAAAAGGAAGGTATGACCGCAAGGTCGGCACCTCCATGGCACCTTGTCAGGACTGACACTACCACGTCTACCGGACACGGAAATCTTGATGGCCATTACATTATTTATCATGCAAGCAGTCGCGTTTGTGGGCTTCTGGACTTGGAATGGAGACAGATGGAAACGACCAGAAGAAGTACACTCCACAAATTATCATTTAACAAAAATTTATTGATAGATATTATTTACAAGTTTTACGAGATATTGTTTACAAGTTTCTGATCATTTCAGAAGCTTAGCACAATGGCTAAAAAGTAAGTTATACTCTTACTACAATTGCTAAAAGGAGAGAGATATAGAGAGATAAACCTAACACAACCCTGACCAAAAGAGAGCTCACATTAAGTTTGTGAGATGAAAAATACCTTAAAATACTCGTGAGTCCTAGTCGTATTGATGCATATATCGAGGAAAGGTCGGCAACTCAGTTCAGAGGGTAATCCTTTTTTTCTCGGCTGCTTGGGTGGCAGCGAGTGGCAACGGCTAAAACGATGGTTCGGAACACACACACTAGGGTTTCTCATTTCCTAGTCTTTTGCTTGTCCCAGGATTCCAGGATAAAAGTGAACAGTTTCCCGGGATCCCAGGACAGAATTAATTATTTTTAAGATATACAAAATATCATGAAATCAAATGATATAATTATTTTTCATTTTTTAAAGTAATTTAATATGTTCTGCAACATCCAAAATCATATCAATAATGCTGTATAACATATATATTAAAAGCTACTTTTGAATTACATAGAAATTTTCACAAATAGAAAAAGTTTATTAAAGTTTGCTGGAAACTGCATATAACAACAACAAAATGCTTTGAATTGAGTTGAAAATTAAAAAAAAAAATGAATTTAGATCAAACTTACTTCTAACTTAAAAGGTAATTTTCGTTTTTTAAATAAAACATATTATAAAAATTTACAATAATATTTTGTATTAAGATTTTAAAAAGCAAAGATGGTCAATCTCCAGTCAATCTGATTCTTATTTTAGTAATGAAAAGTCCTGCTACTGAGAATACACTTTCCGATTTAACTGATGTTAGTGGAATCGTCTTTAATGCATTTAAGAGAAGACAGATGTTATACGTTTTTTTCACTTGTAGCTTGAAAGATTTCGAGTTCATTTTCGAGATTGTAGTATTTCTTTTGCTGTCTAGTATTCTTGATTTGTCTACTTCAGCTGCTTTAATAGAGGTATCAAGCTTATAGCCCAATAATTTGGCAATTCATTTGGCTTTAATAATCAAGTTTATGAAGAAAAACTTCATACTTGCAAACTTCGTACTCGTTTGTATCATTGCTCAATTTGCACAACCTGGCATTATGCAGTTATTGAATCTACCAGACATGATTAAAAATTAAGACAGCATAATCACAATTGTTCCAGATATTACAGGTTCCAACAAGTAAAGAGTCCTACCACAAATAAGCTATGTACTGATTATTGACCATTTGTGACATGCCATAACAAACAAAACTTAAAAAACTAAAAATAGGTTTAAAATTAATAAATACAAATGTATTCTGACAGTTTGTGAGTTAATTATACTTTCTATTTGCAAAATTTCCTCAACCTTAACACAAAATAAGAAAAAAGTAAATTTTTAAGAAATTTGCAGGATTTCCCGAATTAAAAAAACAACTTCAAACTCGTTTGAGAAACCCTAACACACATTTAGGAAAAAGGGTTGATGATGACTGCCTCAACTTATTGTCACCCCTCCCTTTTTATTAGGGGGCTCCTCCTGGGTTTTTCCCATGACTTTGTTAGGAGATTTAGTACGTCGGGGCCAATAGTCACGTTTTCACTCATTGATTCCGGGTGACAAATTTGATGTATATCATCTTCAATTAGGAAATAAGTCCACGGAAAACAGTTTAATTATCTTTGACGAATTTAGCAAAACAACTTTAATGAAAAACTAAATTGAACAAAAATTTCTTCACCAAATTTGGCTCTCACAAAGGCTTATCAAATGACATTATGGAAGGAATGGTTGAGGGCAGAAAGAAACGAGGAAAATGGTGGATGAATTAATATAGGGTAGTTACAAGGAGCTAAAGACAAGAGCTCAGGATAGAGTAGCATGGAAAAAGAGGTGGTGCTCACTGAACCTGTTATAATTAGCAGAAAACTAAAGGAGAAGAAGAAAGTGTTTAGTGAAGCAAGAATAAAGTATTAATCCTCAGATGTTAAGAAAGAGAAAATATAGTATTTTTCATAGAGTAATTAGTAACCTCTGTAGTAAAGTATGCACTCTGCCATCTAGCAAATACTTTACAAAATAATCAAATACTTTTGTTTATACACTATTTAACATAAAAATGTTAGTACAACCTCATCAAAAGTCTAAATTTTCTTAATTATATAAACATAAATACTAGATTAAATTTAAAAATAATCATCAAATATCCATATAAGAAAAACAGTAATTACCTATAATCAGACATAAATAACAACTGATGAGAGTACAGAAACTCGAACATCAACAACAGGCTGCTCACAAGATTGGTCGTTGCATTGTTTAATGAAGGTTTCTTGTAATTCTTTTCAGATCTATCTTCACTGCAGGAAATTGTAAAGTGTCTCTGGGAAATGATTAACACAAAGTATGGTATATTATTAACACAAAGTATGGTATATTTAACAAAAAAATTTTTAATTTCAAGCTAAATCTAAATAAACAAAGATAATAAAAATCAAGTGGAATGACCTTTCATACAATATTAACAGTATCCTATGAAAATAAGTAAGCTTTGGACAATGTCACTGAGATGTTTTTTAATGTATGATATAACAGACAAAACTTAGACCAATATTTTATTAATTGCAAGACACAAGTTATCTGTGTAAAATACCTTACCCGATTAAATTCGTAATCCTCAGGGCCTGCCTTTATTTCCGAAAGCATTGCCACCAGTTCTTCACCAGACCACACCTTGCCGGTCCGGGAAAAATCGCTGTAATCGAAAAGTTTATTGGCATTATTTCCGATCCAAGTCCTCAAACCGGCTAACTAAAACAATAAATATAAATATTATGTTTAAGTATAAAAGACAATAAATAAATTAAATAAATTAAACTTCTCTCTGACACCGGGGATGAATTACTAAATACTGAACCTGTTACTGGTGTAATTTTCGGTTTTTTATTTAAATATCTACGTTCCATTTTTCGAAGTGTTTCGTCGGAATTTTTTCTCTACCTGAAGAAGAGCTATTTGGAAGCTCGAAAACGTTTGTGGAAAGAAGTTTTTTCACGCAAATTACACCGGTAACGGGTTCAGTATTTAGTAAATAAATTAAAATTATTAACTCTTATAAATATTAAATAAAAGACACCAAATAAGCCAAAAACATTTGGAAATCATTTAGATTTGCTGCATGTTAATAAGATAGCACATAAGCTCTTTACTTAATGTTTGCCAAATAATATACAAACTACTAGACATATTAAAAATATACTAGAACATAGTATGTTCTAGTTTGTTCCTAAGAGAGAATAGATAAAATTATATAACAGTAAATGCCAAACTTACACTTTGTTAAAACATGAAAAAATTATACAAAAAAGTAATTTTTTATACTTTTAAGCATACAAAAACTAGCAAAGTGCTTTGAAATATATATTATTGTATTTGCAGCTAACATCAGCAGAGAAATTCCATAGTTATCCACAAACAGCTTTTCCTTCAAGAGAAATTTCTGATGCCAAAATACATTATTTTCTTTCTAACTCTATTCTGCATCATCATTTTATGCTGATTACAGGTAATGCATAGATTGCCCTCCATTGCAGTCTTTGCCTAACTTCAGTTTATACAAATGTCAGAGTCCATATAACCCATCCAAAATTGCTTCCAATTCCAACTCCACACATTACATGCAAAATAATGACATTCCACAGAACAATTCTTTATATCTCTCTATCAGAATTTCCAAAACTTGTATACAGTGTTATTAATTATAAAATTATCAATTATTAGAAGGTTGCTTAATCTGTAAGTAAAACAAGCATGTACTTACTACACCAGCGACCACTCCGTGACTGAATGTTCTACAACCCAGATAACCTGTCAATTAAAAAAAGAATTTAATCAATATTTAATTTTGTCATCCAACCTCTCCAGTCGGCTTACCCAGATTGTCGATGTCGAGCAATGCTGCATCCAGCTCATCTTTTGAGATGTCGAAGCTGGCAGCCTCGCGAGCCGAATCTTCGATGTTGTGGGCTTCGTCCAAAATGAGGATGTTGTTCTTGAGGTTTATTTCCATCTATGTACATTAATATAAATTTGTCTTTTGTTATATTAAATATTGTAATAATTAAATTATTCATTGTAGTTTGAAAGAAAGTACAGTTTTTTTCCTGTATGACTTTAACATATTAACAACATTGATATCAAGGTAAAGGTCTAAGAAAAAAATCTAAGCAGCAATTCCAATTACATTATCAAAATTATTTCTTATTCTTTGAGCTGAAAGATGAAAACTCAAGAAGTGCTTTAACTAAAAGTGGAAGTTGTCATAATAACTTTATAAGTAAACACCTTTACTTTCAGCAGTTATTCTTTCCAGTGAATGTTTTTGGCCTTATTAGCAAGCTTTTGTTGGGCTTTTAGCAGAAATTGGAATGTTCTTGTAATGGCTATTAAAATTCCACAGCATTTCAACTCAAAGATGTGGATTTAAATTATTTGATTTGAATTTGAGAACGTATTTTGTCAGATGTTAAGTGTGGTCTGGTCTCCGTGACAAGTGGACTGAATGTATTGAGTAAAATAATACTAAAACAATATAAATAAATATTTCTAAAAAACATTGACATATTTTATCAAACTTTCAAATATATTCTGAAATTCAAATAAAATAATTTAAATCCACAAGTTCAAGTCAAAAATCTTTGGAATTTTAATAGCTGTTACAAGGACATTCCAATCTCAGTAATGAGCCTGATGAAGGCTTCTGGAAAGAATAACTGCTGGAAAATAAAGGTGTATAGTTGTGAATAAAACCTCCAGAATTTGAAAATTATTTATAGAAAAATTTTGTAAATGAATTTTATAAATAAATTCTCAAAAGTTCCAGATTTAATAATGTAATTGACATTCTGAATGCGAAATTTTGACTTATGTATATAACACTAACATATCAATAATGTTCCACAGTACAAACTTGTTCAATGGTGGTGTCATTGAACAAATTGTATCAAGTGACAATCTCAAATTATAAAAATGTGTTCTATTTTCATACCAGGACTGTAACTAAAAAAACTGCAATTTGGCATTAAACATTACTGGACTAATTTGCTGCTTTTGGTGTGTGAAAAGAAGCAATGATATGACCATCATCATCATCTTTAGTTCCTGAGAAAAACTATTCTATCATCTGTTTATCAAAGATAATTTATAAATAAATTTAAAACACGTTACTTACACTTTCACGAATCAGCGGATCGATGATGTAATTATAAGGGCAGAAAATGATGTCGGCAGTCGGCAACAGATTTCTCAGACCGAAATAGGGACATGCCTGCAAATAATAAAGCGAGATGTATGTAAATTCTTTATTCATCTGCAGTGATTCCAAATATAAAGAATAGTGTATTAATATCGGGATCAATTTAGACTTGTTGAAGTCCTCCCTTTCCACCAAATAATAAATTTAAGAGGGCCTGGACTTGTTTAACTTATATGTAAATCTGGCCCTGAATTATATAAATATACATAAATAATTGATTAATTGATTAGCTGACAATAATAAATCAAATTTGTTAATTTTTCTTAATTTTCAATTAATTAATTAATACTTAATTAAATTACTGACTTCTGGATAAAATTTAATTAACTTTATTGTCTGACAAAAATTTTCTTTTAGAATTTTTTATTTTTAAGGATTAGCTTTGAGAAAATCTGAAAAAAATTTAAAATAGAACTCCCACAAACTCAGTGGCACATTATCCTATGGATAAAAAGGGCAATTGCCTGGGGTCCCACCAATAGGGAGACAAAACCAATCTTTTATAAGAATACATTTCTCCAAAAAACTCCTCCAAAGAAAAATGTCTGAAGTCAACACAGTACACAGAGCCCCCTAATTCAAATTTGCCTGAGCCCCATGACACTACAATGCACCACTGCACAAACTGTCTGAAAGAGAATTATTCAAACTGCAAAAGTACCAATAATTTTTGATATCAATATAATTATCTCTAAACCAAATTCCATTAATTATTAGCAGACTTTGATTCACAAGAAATTCATTAGCTCTGATTTATAATTTAGAATTATACAGTAAAACATTCTCAATGAACATACCTCCATAATGGACACTTTTTGTGGCCAAGTGTAAAAAAAACATACGTAATTTCATTTTAATCAACCTTTCAAGCAAGCACTTTTCATTACGAACACGGACACACAAAATAACACAAAATACACTATGGTTGATGTGAGAGTATATTTCAACTACTGAACAACTTAGCAGGAAAATTTGTGTGAAGACAATGTTGCATCACAGACATCCAGTTCAAAAAATGTTGATACAGTAAAGCGTCGATTATCCAAAAGTCAATCATCCGAAATGTCAATTATCCAAAAGAATTCCAGTCGGCAAATTTAAATTTTTGCCAGTGCAATCTTTGGCTATATCTCAAGCTACTCAAATATTTTATGTTTCTGATACTAAATTAACTTCTGAAGTATAATTTTTTATTGTTTTTATATTTTTCAATATATTAATTTTGTTTGTACAAAAATAAAAAAATAACTTTTAACGATACAATAGTCTTTGTTAGGCTTAACATCAACGAAAATTCAACGCAAAGCGACACGCAACGGAGAAAAATTTCAACATCGGATACGTTAAACTATTTTTTCATACATAATCGATTATCCGAAATATCAATTATCCGAACAACCCCAGTCCCCAATTGAGTCGGATAATCGATACTCTACCGTATTATATTTCTACCACTGAATGTCACTTCATTCTCTCAACATTTAGATTGAGGCATAAATCAAAATTTCAAAGTCAAATGCAAAAAACTGGTTATGAAGCACATAATCACAAGTGTGGATTGTCAAACCATGCTCAAAATACTCCAATCCACCATTTTTCAAGACATTTCATGGATTTAATAGAGATAGTTTATCCCATAAACAATTCAGAATCTTCTTTAAACAAGGTTTATTTCTTGCAATGAGAATGCTTATGTGGGTAGCCGGATGCAAGGCGGATGTCTCGCCCCTTTCTTGGCAACAGTTTGGTGGAAACTGCCCACTTGTCAGAGGATGGCTGGTTTACGTTTTATGATCCCAAGGTGTCGAGATTCTTTACGTCAGGTCGAGCGGAGGAGGAGAGAGGGGTCGCTGGTAAGGCGTAGGCAATAAATGAGTAAATGACACCATTTAACAAGAAAACCAAAAATTTATTGGATAACAGCTAAACTTACAATAACAAACATTGAAATAATTATCAAGATTCCCTAATTCTCAAGTACAAGACAAAGGGGAAGCCAAGAGAGAGTTTACACAAGTGATTACCATACCTCTTTGACAATTCCATGGAGGTTTGAATTTGTCCTTTCTTTTATCCAAAGCACAAATTAACAAAGTTGAGACTAAGACTCCTGGATCGCACTCAACAAAAGCAATTTGGAGATATGGCTCTTTGGTGAATTCCTGGATGTCACTGTTCTAGCGTTCGGTGAGAGACTCCCCAGAGGAGGGGAGGGGCTGAATCAGCCTTTTATTGGTTTGGCTTGGGAAAATAAGTCAGGTGATTAAATGTTGTCTAAAGCAAAGGTTATTTTAGCAGGTGTTTAGTACATAGGTGTCCCCGGAACCACAATAAAGTGAAAAAATCTGACGATAACTGTAAAATTATGTCTTGCAATATTAGCTTGATGATGTTTGAATGGGTGACTGTTTACATTCTTAAAGGAAGGTTATAAATTTCTATAGTTGTTGATAGGATATTCTAGTACATTCTATTCTATTCTAATCTAATTCTATTCTATTCTATTCGTACATTCTAGTGCAGTATAGTGTTGAGTAACTAGTGACATAAAAATCTTTCATACTTAGGTTTAATTTTTCGAAATATGTCGATTATTACATTCAGAAAGTCAATCTTTCCCTGGCAATGTTGTTTTAACAAGTCAGAAAAAAAATACGAGGTGAAATACTTTGAAAATTAGAGGAGAAAAAAAAATGTTTCTGAAATCTGGATCTCACACTTATTATTTTATGGTTACTACTAGCAGACCCTGCCACGCGTTGTTGTGGCTCAAAATGTATCTATCATAAATGTATAACACTTCCCCCGTGAGGGGAAAATTTTTCGAAAAATTTCTTCTTAGTGTACATTATCTTGACGTACCCTATTAAAACGCAATCAAAGATGCAAAAACCCGCATCTAAAATAATATAATAGAAGCCAAGTTCTTCACGGTAAGCCTTAATTCTGTCCCTCTCCCCAGCGGGGGAATATCAAAAAATTCCTTCTTAACTGTACATTCTGTTGACATACTCTATTAAAACGCAATCAGAAACGCAAAAACCCGCATCTAAAATAGTATAAATAGAAGCAGAGTTCTTTACCGTAAGCCTTAATCCTAACCATCTCCCTTCAGTGGGGGAAATTTTGACATGTATATTACAGTATATAAAATCACGTGCGTATTCGAATGCAGCGTTGTGTCAAAATTTCAAAGGAATCGGTAGGAACAAACGAACATTACATTTTTATTTATATAAATAGCTAGATGATGATCTGCTTCAGTTCATTTTCACAGAAAAGCGTAATGTCTCGCAGAAAAGCAAACTTAGGGTGTCGTACTCGTAGCGCCATCTGTTGGACATAAAAGCCTTAACCTAGATTATATATTTTAATTTATATGAATGTTTAACGGAATAATATATAGCCTATGTCCACTCTGAGGTTCCATTCTAAATATTGGTGAAAGAATTTTTGAAATCGGATGAGTAGTTTCGAAGATTACCTGCTGCAAACAAACTTACATACATACATACATACAAACATTACCTCTTTATAATATTAGTATAGATTGAGAATGATTTGGAGACAACATTCTCATAAAAGTAGCAGGATATAACATCACTGTAAACCATTATATCAACATAAATTCTGACATCGTGACTACAAAAGAAGGGACACAATCCTTGTCACTTTGAGAACCAAGAAAGAGAATAAAACTGGTGATAATGATGACAGCAATGACTTTGCAACCAAAATGACACCTGCAACAGAGCCACCAATAGAGTCATATTGACAGACTCTAGATTAATTAAGCAAACAAATTCAAGCAGTTTTATATCAATAGAAAAAATGCAGACAATACAAAGCTAGCACAAGATTTTATTATGCTTAGTGAGAAGCAGATTATTTCAAACTGAACATAACTGAATTTTTTAAAACTTAACACTTACTTTATGATAATTCATCACTTACTGTAATGGGATGTACTATGTCATTACTGTTTTTTGTGTGGTACGTATATTATACTCTTATAAATAAAAATTATGCAAGCTGTATTTGTAAGATTTTGAAGACCCCCTTTTTGTTTATGTAAATTAATTTCAAACAAAATAATTTTGAAAGTAATATTTTGTAAATTTTGATGAAAAAGTTTTATTTTCACAAACGAAAAAACCATTAATACCCACTTCCTCTTCAACTAAAGTTGAACATCCTTTTCTTTTCCCTTATCCTTAAAAAAATTAGTCACTCAACTGAGAGTCAACCCCTCTAAAATTTCCCACTCATCCTGTTCACACGGGAAAATACAATATGCTCATTGGAGGAGAACTTCGAAAAGTAGCGATTCTTTCTCATTGTTCGCGGAGTGCGCCAGAACTTTGATGTAGATGGATGCATTCCTGTCGAGTCTCCAAAGACCGCACCCATAGTCGGAGTGTGTCAGACCTCCAAAAAGGAAAAGGACGAATTCCATTTGGTCTCCAAAAAGACAAGAGCCTATTATTCAAATGCGCCAAATATCTCCCACCAAAAGAAGCCGTTTTAACAAGTGCCGTCCGAAATACCCAAGATGAAGAAGTAAAGAACCATATGATAGAGTACCTGAGCTTAAACGAACCTTTTTCTCGACACTCCAAAAGGAGAAGACAATGTGAAAGACCAAGTATCAAAGATCTTGTGGAGGTAGTATAACCTACGAGAATTGTAATCTCTCTCTCTTCATGTGTTAGAAAACTTAACATATTTGTAATCTCGATTTATATTTTTATTTCGTTTTATTAAATATCTTTGTTTGTTACTTAAGAAAATGTCTCATTAATGATTGAATTAAAGTCTCCGTCCACTCCGCTCCAATGAGCCCTCCTAATCAAAATAGATAGTAGAATTGCAAGTTAAACCGCAAACAAATAGTTTGTAAGGAACCAAGTCCGTGCTTTATTTTTAGTTTACTTTTACTTTGCTTTATTATATTTTTGTTTGGGGCTTATGTTTGGTTAGGACGAAGGTTTCCTCACCCACCACCCTAACGTTCAAAACGAGAAGATAAAAGATTCACCAACTCACCGACGACGAAACGACAGCGCCATAGCTAGCATTGCACTCACGTGCACGCCCGAGCGGCAGAATTGTAAGTCCGCACTGAAGGGGGGGACACCCCAATAGACTTTCTAGGAACTTGTGTAACCTTAACAAAACATCCCGATAATTGTTAAAGAAATGCTGTAAAAGGTTAACAAAGTATTGTCGAGAAATAAGCTACCAGATAACGAAGAGAAAACAATGTTACGTGTAGATATGTAAATGAGGGGAGTGGCTACAGTAGAACTGTGACGTCACCTCATACTATAAGTACAGTAGCTCAAGTGAAGACAGAAGAGGTGAGCTCCTGAACCGAAAGCGTTGGTCTGCTGGTAGCAGTGAATAGGTGTCGAATAGGAAATCCTAGTAGGAGATTGAAGGTTCGATTTTGGTGATTTGGAAATAGGAAAGTCTTGAGTAGAAGAAAAGGTTCCGAGTATTAATTGAGGTGACGGTTAGGATTGATAGTTATAAGAGAATTTGTATCTAAGTTAAGAATTGGATTTTGTTTTGTCGGAATTCCAAGGGGAATAGTTCTAAGTTAGAATAAGACTTAAGTTTGTCGGGTTGATTTGTGATTTGATTTTGATTAATAAATTTGTTGTTTGTTTATAAATCTTGTACATAGTATTGGTTAAACTTGATTAAACATTTGTTATTGAGATTTTTTTGTGACTAACCTTATCCTTAATTTATTTCGGTGCACACTAAAAGTCCAGGCCTGGCAACTAACAAACGCAAACCCGCGTAAAGTACCCGTTAGGTCCCGGCTCTAAGAAAACTATCGTTGTAGAGCAACAAATTAAAAATAGTACTTTACAAGTTTAACTGGTGTCAGGAAAAACAACTTCCAGAGGTTCTCGCAAAAACCTGTTCATTTATCACTCATAGAAAAAGCCATCCTCCGACGACCGAGGGCTGATCTCACGATTAGCTGCCGAGTAAGCGGTACACGAGTTTTACGACTCCATATCCCTGGCTAGCCCCTCACACATTTAAAGGCTATTTCATTTAATAGGTAATTTTCACAAAATTCTCTTTTAGCCAGACACTCCTTTATAACAGTTTTTTCAGTGTCACTATTAACATGTATACATACTTTTATCTTCTACATACCTTCATCTTCTTTCCTACTTTCACTAAGTCTTCCAAATCCCAACACCCTTGTAGACCATGACTCTTTAATGAGTCATACTGGAGTGCCTGAGAATTACGAAAATATTCGCATCCAAATCCCTACAAAAGAATACATGTGATAAGATAGATAATATTGTAAGAAAGCACCATAATGTAAATTTTATTTTTTAATAAATTTTATAGTATAATGCTATTGTACAGTAAACTTTACAAAAAGATGGTTAAAATGTTTTACAAATGAAAAAAAATGTTAACTCTGTCAGAAATTAATTTTTCTGCCCTTACCTGGCTGAATACAATGCAACTTTATCAAAATTGCAGCATTGTACATTGCACACGACCATTTCAGGCAAAGTATATTGCAATTTGTGTGCAATCTTGCTTTGGAGAAGTTTCCTCTAGTTTTTATTGTGAGGGTTGTGTGTTGCACACAACCCTCACAATAAAAACTAGAGGAAACTTGGTGATATTGACTACGGGAGGAAACGTAATTGACTTGGTGATATCAATGCCAAAGTCAATTACATGTTTAATTAAATGATCAGTTGCTGTGGATGATCTATCCAGATTTATTTGTACTATTTTTATAGCCATTTTTTAAGATTTACTTTGCTTTAACCTACTTAGACTAACTTACACCTACTGTCGAGTATTAGCCCAGCTAATCTCACAGTGGTACCTATATATTGGGCACTTACGATCCCATGCGGAGCGGTTGATGTCCACGTGTTCCGTATCTTGTTTTCTGCTGGTGTTATACTGGATGCAGTTGATGCATTTGAAGTCGAACGGCTCCGCTTTACACTCCGTCAATGAGTGTGGCCTGCTGTACTCGGGGCACACTCTTTTCCCCGAGCATTGTGACTTCAGATAATTATATGCAAAGCAATTATTACATCTCTTGTAGCAGTAAAAGTCGTGCACTCTGCGTGACAACCACCCACGTACAGTACGTCTCCTGACTGTCGAAAAGCCCTCCTCAGCTCCGGCGATAGTCAGGACCCACGAACGCTCTCTGTTCGTTTCCTTTCCAGTGTAGAAGATGTTCTTTATGTGTTTAGAAATGTCTCCCAAAGGAGATCTGTGTGCTGGCTATACACATATTGTCTCATATCGCCTTCCTCGAGGTCCCACTTGATCCTCGGCACAACAGGCCTGGGAGTGCCATTTCCCCTCCGAAAAAGTGAGAAAAGTGAGTTGAAATACAGAAAAAGTGAATAAAAAGTGAGTGCAATAGTGACAAAACAAAGTGAAAAAACGGAAGGAAAACTCAGCAAAAAGCAGTAAAAGTTATTTTCTTTTTACTTGTGTTATGGTTAAACACATTTTTAAAATTTCTGTATATACTGTAATACAGTCGTTATATCGCGCATTTTTGGTCCCCCGAATTTTAAAAGCATTTGAGTCAATAACTTTTAAATTACCAATTGTCACTGAATTTCTATTTGCAACGAAATACGGTATTTTATTTCCACTATTGTCCTTAAAACTACCACTGAAGGTGAAACAATAAATTTGCCAAGATCTACATATGCAGAACAAGTGGATGGATCGATTATCATTTGTTTCCTTTTAATAAAAAAGTTGTTTATTTATTAGTTTTAAGTACTGTCTCCTCATTTACAAGTTTCTGTAAATTTGAAATTTCACATCTTTATGTGAATTAACGGTATTGCTTCAATTCACACAGAGGTGTGAAATTTCGAATTCACAGCATAATGTGTAAGGAAAAGATTTCTTAATTCTGAAAGGAAAGTTCTAAAATTTTTATACAGTAGTAACTTTATTTTGCTTTTTAATTAAAGAATTTTTACTCTGTAATTTTATAAGTTTTGATGTTCTATTATACATTCAATATTTTTTTTTTAATTTTCAATTACAGCATTTATAATTTTTATTGAAAAATATAAACTACACGAATTTCTAATAAGCGATTTATATAGTACTGTATAATAAAATCGCAATTGATTTGTTTTTATATCGACAGTATTTGTCTTTCAATGTCATTGTTAAAGAAACAATAATGCTAAATGGGCGTTCATGGTATCGATGTTTACGTAAAC